TATTTTAGAAAATGATATGACCTAATTGGAGTAAGGCGATTGTACAGTTGCATTTAGATCAGTTGACATTATACATTACTAACTAGGCTGTTATTTATAGCATGTTTATGTTTAATGTGCCTACAGGTAACATTCCATTTCTATTTAAGAAAATTATACAATATTTTTGCTATTGTTTTGCAGTGGAAGCTATTAAAACTCCACTACTTGTTGGAAACGCCAGGCGTCATAGTCCTAAGAGAAGGAGGAAATATTTTATATGAGTGCAAGAGAGTGCTAGATACTTTTAAATACATGGATAGATATCCAGTACTGAAGGGTAGTATTTAAGTGGGAAGTATTCTTCAGTGATTAAGTTAAAGTTACGTCGGTGTGTCTTAAGTTCCCGTTGAGTAAGTTGAGTAAGCGTTCCGTGTGTTGTGTTTAGTTATTGTGTTTTATGTATTGCGTTTGCAGTGTTAAAATGTTGGAGTATAATACGTTATATAGGGTCTTTTTTTGTTTGTAACTGTGTGCTCACAAATACTTTGGTTCTCAATTCTATTTTAGCTTCGATGTTATATGTTTTTTTTTTTTATCAAAATGCTTCCTATTTCTGCTAATGACTTGCATTGGAAGCCATTAAAGTTCCACCATTTATATGGAACCACCAGGCCGTAATATTCTTAAGAGAAGGAATAATTGTGGTACTTCAACGGATATAGCAATGAGCAATCAATGATGAAATCAATGAAGACATATGGAAGTATTTCTCAAGGAAAAAGTACAAAAGAGAGTGTTATAAGTAAATGGGTTTATGATATGCATTCAATAAAAACTGTATGTGAAGGATTAGAAGGTCTTGCTGATATTAGAACGTATACAACAGATCAGCATGTAGATGCAAGTGATTCACGAATAAAGAAAGATGATAAAGATATTGAAAAACTTAAGCAGTGGTTTTTATTATATAATCCTTTTCCTAAAATTAAAGAAATCATTTCAATTAGCTAGCGGAATGGTTGGTGATAATAAAATCAATTGTTATAAAGCTCGTGAAGTTGGGATTGCTTCAATGTCTAAAATAATAGATGAAACATTTAATATCAAATTAAAACGCGCTGATAAAGTTCTTCTTCTTCTAACCATGAGTAGCACCATAGAAGTTCATGATAAGAAGGTACCTGTAGATCTAGTATTAATATTTCAACGTATGAGTGTTACTAAGAAATTTGAAAATGAAATAAAAAAATTGTTTGAGTATGAATTAGCCCCTATCCTTTATTCATGTTTGATGAAACTGGAATGCGTAAAACACAGAAATCAGCTTTTTACAATTGCTTTGAATCAGTGGAAATTGAAATTGACAACACAAATGCTAGTTACATCATCGATGGAGGGTATTTAACACACCGCGCTGTGTGGGATCGAGAAGCAACCTTTAACATTACTTTTGATAAATACATTCAGTACGTACATAGACATTTTAGTCATCGAGTGTCTATAGTAGAATTTGATGGTTATACTGATTATTAGAAAAAACATTAAAGCTGCAGAACAGCGTCGTCGAACCACAAAAATATTTTTTTTAATATCATTTTTGATCAATTTATGACAGTTCCAACAAACCAACAACATTTTCTTTCCAATACTTATAACAAGCCTCACTTTATTTTTATGTTATGGGAAAGATTTACAGCTGCAAATATTATAAATTAAGCAAGCAGATAATGAAGCAGATAAAAAATAATTGGATTGTTCAATGGATGTTTCAATTATAAGGACATCATCCTTATAATTGAAACAGCCATTGAACAATCCAATGCAACAAATATTCTATTGTTGTTGATGAAGATGTTGACTTATTAGTATTGCTGACTGAACGAACTCCAATTGATTAAATTATTTACTTTTTAAAACCCGGGAAATCTCATTAACCAACAGAAATATATTCATCAAAAAGTTTATCTGCTTATCCAAAATGTCAAAATCATATCTTATTTTTACCTGCAATTACTGGCTGCGACACTACATCAGCATTTTTCAGAAAGGGTAAAACAACCGTATTTAAATTATTTGAAAAACGTGATTTAACTAACTGCGCCGAAGTGTTTCAAAAGATAGACTCTTCACCACAAGACATTATTACAAACGGGATTTGTTTTCTTCTTGTTTTATGTGGAGCTTCAAATAAAATTGATTGTTTAGACAAGTATAGATACCTAACTTTTGTAAAAAACACCCGGAATAATAAAAGAGTGCAGTTATCTTGTCTTCCTCCAACATCTGCTTCTTCTAGCCAACACTTGTATCAAGTACATTATCAAGTTCAAGTATGGCTCGGCAATCAACTGGACCCATCAGACTGGGTATGGAAATTAGTAAATAATACATTAGAGCCGATTGACACTTTACTCCCACCAGCTCCGGAAAGACTTCTTAACATCATCTTCTGCAATTGCAAAAAGGGTTGTAGTGCAAAATGCAGCTGTAAAAAAGTCGGGTTATTTTCTTCGTCGTTTTATACTAATTGCCGAGGCCAGTCTTGCTCTCTTGTTGAATCAAATTCAATAAATGATGATTTTGATGATATCAATGAGGAGACAATTGATGTATCTTTTTCACATATCCAACTTGAAAAAGAAGATGACTACGAAGCGAAGAAGATACTAATATATAATATACCACACTAATACGAGTATATAATACATAAAATGCATTTAATAATAAACAATATATACAAATATAATGTGTATATTATTAGTATATTAATTTCATAATTTCACAAGAATCGCAATGACTTTTCTGGCATTATATTTTAAAACTGCAATATATTATAAAATGCATTATATTATATAACTGCATTATATTATAAAAATAAAATGCATTATATTATAAAACATTATATTAGAAATATTATAATAAAAATAAAATGCATTATATTATAAAACTGCATTATATTATAAAATATATTATAAAACTTCAATATATTATAAATCTGCAATATATTTAATATATTTTCTCGCAATGTATTTTTGCAATATCTTCTCGCAATATATTTTCGCAAGAATTGCAATATCTCAGGATAAATGATTCTTATGAAAATGTATAAAGGCAATTTTAGTAAACATTTTCATGATCTAATACTTTTGTTTGATCTATTTTTATGATAAGACGTTTCCTTTTTTTTTTTTTTTTTTAATTTTTTTTATACCATTGACCTTAAAAATTTTATTAAACCTGATCTTGCTGCTTTTCATTCGGAGGAAAAAAGAATACGAAACTATAGGTTATTGTTCTAGTTTCAAGGGCACCACACTACACTAAGTGAAACCTTGAATAACCTTTTTTGCAGATATGGGATTGATGGGGACCTTTAATACTTTATTTGTAATTATGTCCTAAAGGTATGTACCAATTCTCAGCTCTATGCGAATTATTTTAAATTAAAATGTTTATTTTGACCGGATTAATCGCATGTCTAAAAAAAGGTAAAAAGTAAATTCCAACATTCCGCCCTGAAAAATAATACCGATCGGAACCGGAAAAACAAAAAAACTCACAAATTCCGGTACATCCCTCATAATAACCTTATGACAGCTAAACTAAACAGAACTGAGATGCCAAGCAGTATATATGACCTCTACATTTTTACACACAGGCATATTAAATGATTATAAAACTGATCTCAACCGCCAAAAATTTAAGTTTAGCTGTTGAAACTCATTCATAACTTGGTCTTACTGTTACAAATTCGCAACTTGGTCTTACTGATTCATACTCGAATGAATAAAAGCAAAGTTATTAGGATTAGTTTTCTTTCTCTTATGCTTTTCTCCATACTTGAATAAATAAAATTGAAGTTGTTGAGATCGGTTTTGTTATCATTCATTTTGCATGTTTTTAAGATTATAAAACTTATACAATTTTATAAAACCTGATCTTGCTGCTTTTCATTCGGAGCAAAAAAGAATACGAAACTATAGGTTATTGTTCTAGTTTCAAGGGCACCATTCTACACTAAGTGAAAGTTTTTAAATGTACCTTCATTTGTAGATGAAGATAATAAGCCTACAGGAACTCGAATAACAGAAGCCCAGTATGTTTTTCAGCAAGTAAAATATGGGAATCGGAAAAAAAAATAAAAAAAAAAACACACTCTGTATTTGACCTTATAAACAAGAATACTTGGTATCAGTTGTTTAAAAACGACTTAATCCTAGAATGCAAGGTTTTTGCCTATACTAGGGATTTTTTGGGAAGCTTCATTACCGATGCAACTGCAGAAATCACGACACTTTCTAATGTTGAAATGAGTGAAAATGTTGATGATTATTACCAAACACTCCTTATAAAAAAGAAAAAGTTGACCGGAAAATAACAAAGAGAAAAAAATATGTTGACATTATGATATGACTTCAGAGACTTGACAGAGTTTGCCACAAGACTAGATTTTATTTTTTTGGAAAATTTAATAGATAGTCTAAACATTCTGGATTTATATCATTCTATAGCCTGTAGATACTACATGCAGGACGGAACATAAAGATTTTTAGATATGCTGTTTTTTAAAACACCCTTGAACTTTATGGATACGCTCTCTCGCTGTTTATATTTTTTACTTATCAAAATTGAAACAATATCAACATAAAATTTTATAAAACGTCGTGACAAAAATATGCTTCATTAAATAACCAACATGATTACTATCCCCTATTTCATAGTTTTACATTTTATGTTTTTCTGCTTGTTTTATTCTTTTTTTTTCTTTTGTATCGTTAAATCGGTGGTTCGTTTGTTTGGTTATAGGCTATGCGTCTTATTTCCGGGCGTTTTATATAACTTTATGTTAATATTATTTCAATTTTGATAAGCAAAAAATATAGTGAGAGGGCGCATCCATAAAGTACTAGGGTGATTTAAAAAATTTATTGGACTAATTTAACACAAAATAAAGTGTTCAACACAAATAACTATGTACATTTAACATGAAAAAATAAATTAATTAAAAAATAAATTAATTGAAAAAATAAATAATTTTTTAAAACGTCAACATGATTTAGCCCTAAGAATCCATATATAAAGTTTTACTTGTTCAGTTGTTTTTTTTTTAATACAAATCTTTAAAGATTTCACCGAACTTATTCGGTTGTTTTCTTTTTATGAATTCTTTTGAAGATTTCACCGAACTTGTTATCAGCAAATATCTCTTCAACCAAAGCTTCAAAGCAGACGTAAAACAAACGTTTATTTAAATTGCTATGTTGAAACATTTCGAACACTCTAAAATATAAATATTTCGAACATTTAAACAGTCAGACAACTGAATGAAAAATCTACTTTAATAAAAATAAGATAATTGAATAAAACCATAAAAAAATCAAACTAGCAATTGTAAAAAAATATATATAGCTTTACCTGCTGGTACCTTCACGAACTGCTTCAGATCCCAAAAATCTACGCAGCTCATCTTAAAAATAAATGTACAATTATTTCAAATAATTCATATTAAAAAAACTTAAAACTCTAATAAAATATCGCACCTGGTATGCTACCAAGCATCTTAGCTTTTGTTACCATTCTCATTTTTCTTCTTGTATCTATGTCTCTTTCCGGCGTAGCCTCGGCAAGTACGCCGCCTGGCCAGTAAGCATCCCTAAATTATGTAAATTGATTTACATTAAAAAAAACTAAAAAAAAAAAAACCCCAACAACGTAACATATAATATATATATATATATATATATATATATATATATATATATATATATATATATATATATATATATATATATATATATATATATATATATATATATATATATATATATATATATACATATTTAATATACATTTCGACTAAAGAGGCTTAGAAGATCTGGGACCGGTTGGTCAAATAAAATAAACAAAAGATGGCTGATTGTAGAAACTCTGCTAACAAATTTTTTTTCAAAGCCTAAACAAAACAAGGTCGTTGACTTTTTCTCATCAAAAGTAATTTAAATACCTACTTACGATTGGTCTTACAATCGTAACAAACTAGTTCACTTTTATGCTAAATAAGTTAAATATGCTAAATAATAGTAAACAATTTATGTTCAATACGTTATTGTACTTTTATTTGACATTATATTTTTTAACGACATAATAAAATTTATTATAATTTCACTCATTGTATGCATATTTTTAAATATATATAAACGCATATATATGTGGATGTAGGATAAATAAATACATTGTCTTCATACCTGTTTAAACGGTGTATTATATATCTGTTTAAGTTTTTAGTGTGTATATATATACACATACATATATTTATAAATGTATATATACATATAAGTGAAGTTTTGACAAAAATTGCATCCAAAATATACATTAAAATATCAATAACAAAATCTTTTTTCTTTTGTATGATGGAAATTTAATAAAAAAGCTATATGTCAAATTAATCAAAATTTATGAAAATTAGTATTGAGTGAGGCCTCCTTTGACCTTGTTAGCCTCAGCTAGACAATCTGGTATTAAGTTAACCAAACTTTGTGTCTCTTCTGTAGTTATGTTATTCAATGCGCTCATTATAGTTTCTTTCAAATCGTTTTTACATCTAAATGCTCATCCACCAATTTTTTTGTCCAAAATATACACCGAATTTGGTATAGAATTCATGTCCGGACTTTGAGATGACCGTTTCAAAACATTTATGCTATTTTATCAAAGTATAGCATTGTTTTCTTAGCAGCATGTTTTGAATTGTTACACTACTGGAATTGTTTCCCATTCTCAATTTTTTAGTAGATAGTCACAAGTTGGGTTTGAGAATAAAGCATCCATTTTGTCATCAATAAATGCCAATTTCCCCTCTCCTTTCCAACTCATACAACCCAAACCATCACATTTCCTCATCCGTGCTTTAGAGTACCTTGCAAATATTTCAATTTATAAGTTTCTCCTTTTTTTTTGCCACACTTTCTTGACTCTATTCGATGAGACTAGTTTGTATTTTGACTCATTTGACCATAAAATATGTGCTTTTTTGCAAACTGATATTACATCAATTGTTATCTTGCGTTTTGGTCCTCTCCTAGTCACACTAGCAAGGATTCCAATCCGACCATGTTTTTAAGTACAAGTATTTTTTTTGCAGCAAATTTTATGCATCATTAGATCAATCGTGTAAAATTCAATAGGTTTGAAAAGCAATTTATTCACCAATACATAAAGAGATTTATAAAACAATACTTGATAAAATATCTAAAAGAAAAATTTCAAATATTTTAACGAACGAATTTTTTGATGCAATCTTTAAAATTATTAGTTTTTTTAAGTGTGCGATTTTTTTTTTTGGGTTGGCAATAAAAATCATTACCAACCCAATAAAAATTGCTAAAACCTTGCATGACTTTATAATAAAAAACAGCAAAATTTTTGTTCAACTAAAACATTTTACTAAGATGCATTTGTTAGCTACCTTGAGACGTTTCTTAACACATAGTTATATGTTTTATTTTTGGTTCTAAAAGGTTTTTTAAAATATGACAAAATTGAATGATATTTTTGCTTTACTGTTACTGAAGATTCCTTTTAGATTGGAAAAAGTTCATTTTAAAAGTTCACTTGTTTTTAAGTAAGATATAATAAAATGAAAACTGAGTAGTTAGAACGGATATAATTTAGATATAAAACAGTTTTAAAACAGATATAAAACAACTTTAAATTTAACCTTGTTAACCCGAAAAATAACAAAATATAGCCTGCTACTCTAATGCCCTGATTATGACTCCGTTGTATCCTGAAGCTTTGATGCTATTCTTGTGTTGTAATTTCATATTTGCTATATACAATTATGTATATATACATAATTGCAATAAAATGCGCATTCTCTAAGAGCTGTTTTATAATAATTAAATAGGATTTAATATGCTTTAGATAAGTTTTGAAAATTAAGTTGAAAACAACTTTTAAAGCCTAATTATACAGAAAGTTTTTATTCTTATCAGTGATATATAGTTTCTGACTTTTTTGCTTTTGTTTTGAGATGATATTAAATATTCCTTCCCATGTATTAAACACCTAAGAGTATACTTTTAAGTGAAAACAGATGACTTTGATTTATAGATACCTAAATAAAACCTTTGATTTATAGATATCTAAAGCTTTACTGAATATATTTCATTTATTTTGATTTGTTTTATTGCAATTTGCAAGTAAATTGTTTGCATTTTATAAATATATATGCAAGTCATTTTTCTTTCAAAATATTCAGAAAGATAAAAAGTTATTATTCAGAATTAAGTCTATTATTATTGCTATAATTAATTGTAATGCATCAGAAATATTAGTTACCAAGTTGTCATGCAAGCAGTGTATGTATCCCACTATAAACAAAAATTTCAAAAAATAATTTTTAAAGTATATCTTTAATAGAACTCATCGTAGAGTAATTACTTTGTTGTTCATGTTGGTTGTTCTACTAATTTCTCTTATAATATATATTTTTTTATAAATATTTTTTAATAATAATATTTAATTTATTTAATATTTATCTAAATAAGTTGCATTGTGGCAAACAAGTTTGAAAAAAAAATCACTTAACAACACAAAATGAGTTAAGCTGATGAAATGAAAGTAATATATATTACTGACTAAATCAAGAGGATTACTAATTTTTAATTATATATTAATCATTATATTTGAATTTTATTCATATCCAAACATACTCATTATATTTGAATTATATTTATACTCCAACATATTTGTAGATTTTGAAGCTCTAACAGTGGTAAATTATTTCTTTGAGCTTGTTTACATCTAAGACCCATAATAAGAATCCACTTAATTATTCTGCGTTAGATAGATTCAACCAAAGCTATATGGACATTAAAAAAAGTTACCCGAACAGGGACACGCTATTCAATGTAATGTCTTACAAAAATTTTTACAAAAAATACTATACAATATTGTTGCTGTACTTTCATCTACATAGGTAAATGTTTTTTGAGTATACCAAGAATTTGTAGGGTTTTAAAAATACAAGATTAAACATGCACATTGGAATTGACATTGAAAAAAAGAGTTTTTTAAGTATTGGGTTATACCTTTGTTGTTTAGTATTAAGTATATAAAACTATAAATAATTTAATTCAAAACAAAACAATTTAATTCAAAACAAAACAAAAAACATTTATATAATCATTACCTAAATTGTTTCAAATATTCAGCAATTTGTGGCGAGTTGGTAGCAAAATCAAGCCAATCAACAATTTTTCTTAAATAAATAATGTGTTTAACAAATTTTTATTTTATTGAGCAAACTAAAAAAAGATAAAATGAAAAACTATAAAGCAAAATTTTTCATATACCTATTTATTCGATCACCAAAAGTGGCTTTAATTATCTCCCTCAAAATTGACACAATGCGCCTTCGTAGCCACTGGTTTCTGAAAAAGGTTTTTTTTTAAAACTAGAAATTAAAAAACAAAAAAGATAAAAGGTGATGTTTCCAATAATCACAATTTTCAGAATTATGGAACTTATTTAATCAAGTTTTTCAAATCTAATTTAAATATGTTCTTTTTTAAAGGTTTTAAGGATGATAAAGATTTGCTCACAAAGGTTTTAAGGATGATAAAGATTTGCTCACAAAGGTTTTAAGGATGATAAAGATTTGCTCGCAAAGGTTTTAAGAATGATAAAGATTTGCTCACAAAAGTTTTAAGGATAATAAAGATTTGCTCACAAAGGTTTTAAGGATGATAAAGATTTGCTCGCAAAGGTTTTAAGAATGATAAAGATTTGCTCACAAAGGTTTTAAGGATGAAAAAGATTTTCTCACAAAAGTTTTACGGATGATAAAGATTTGCTCACAAAGAAATAAACTTGAATAAAAAAAAAAAAAATATCTAAAAAACACTTAAATTTTTTCACTAATCATAAAATTGCAATTAATTTTTTTTAATTATAAATGAAATATTGATTGTTATCATGTAGATAGCAATGAATATTTCATTTTTATTGGTCCCATAATAATAACAACTAGCTGACCGGACCTGTAAAATACGGGTCTTGTAAAGCTTTTTTAACATTGAATGATTCTATACTTATACCTTACTTCAATATTTTTTAGTAAACAGTAGAAAAAGAATTATATATTTAAAACTTTAAAAAATTTTAAATGCTTAAAAACTTTAAATAGCCATTGCACAAACTGCTGTTTTTCAGTGATTTGAATATTAGTACCTGTCTAAATAATAAAATTGAAATGTGTTGATTAGTTACAACTGGAATAAAAAGTTTAAAAAACATATGTGGAAATAATGGACTTATAAAGTATGGATCCATAAAATATGGATCATGGTAAGTCTAAGTCTTGTTAAAATGTTCTTATTAAAAAAGTGCTGCGAATCTTTTTTTGCCATGTTATGAATTCGGTTGCTATGAATTCTATGCAAACACTAATGAGCAGCAGCATTAAGTTTAATAATAATGTATAATAAAATTAAGATATTAAATTTTAAAATAAAAATTTTACCTTTCCTTCAAATCAAATACTTCGTCCATCAACAACAATAAAATTCTTAAAGGAATGTTATCAACAACCTACAATAAAAGTTCATCTTTACCACTTTTAAGTTAAACTATATTATTGTAACAACAGGAAATAAATAATAAGAAGTACAATATAAAGTTAATACAAATTAGTAATAAAGCAAAAAATGTGATAGTGATACAACTTTTACAGAGGGCAATAGGGCAACTGAATAAACTGCTAAAAACTTACAATTATCCAGAGGACAATAGTCCACTAAAGACCTTTAATTATCCAAAGGACAATAGTCAACTAAAGATCTAGAATTATTCTTACAGCAATAGTCTATTAAAGACCTACAACTATCCAGAGAGACATTGTCCACTAAAGATCTACAATTACCCTAAAGGCAATAGTCTATTAAAGACCTACAATTATCATGAGAGCAATAGTCCACTAAAGACCTACAATTATCCAGAGGGAAATAGTCTATCAAAAACCTATAACTAAATCAACAATAAACTAAAAACTGTTATAGTGATACGATTCATCCTGAATGTAATAGTGTACTAAAAATCTATAGAACAACCTAATAAACAACAAAACTAAAAAGCCATTGTAGTTAAGCAACATTTTAACTGAGTGCAGTAATACACTTAGTAATACACAGTAATACACAAACCTTAAAGATACCAAAACAATAAAACTAAGAAATTTGGAATAGTGATACAACTCATCCTGAGTGAAACAGTACACTAAAGAACTTTAATACAACCAAATCAATAATCAAATCAAAAAACTAAAAAATTATATAGTAGTTATACAACTTGTTATGAGTGCAATAGTGTGCTGAAAACCTACAAAACAACCAAATAAAGATTCAGGTTTAATTTAAAAATTTTTTAATAAAAAAACTTAGCTTTGCAAGAATTAAAAAAAATATCTTGTTTTTTGAAAAAAATTAATGAAAAGTTATTCTTTTTCTTTTTATTTTAATTTGAATTCACCTCCCCAAGGCCATGAAGGCCATTACAGCCGAGGAGGCTTTTTAAGTTGTGGCTACAACCATCTCTCAACTCTATAACTCTGAAACACAAACCTTGAAGAACAAGGCCGATGTACAGAGAAGCAAGTTGATTGAATTTACAATTAAGAAACTGTACATGGTTAAAACAAAATTAATAATTAAAACTTAAATAATTCATTAGTTTAAAAAATCAAAAATACAACAATAATATACATATTTACCTCACTATCTAATGCATCTGACAACTTTCCTATGTTTGTATCTCTGTCTAAATTCTGATTAAAAAAATATTTTATGTTTAAATGGCTATTAAACAATTATATTATATAAAAAAAAAACAAGCAAAAGTTTGAAATAAAAAAAAATCACACCGTAACTGAGTTATTTTTTTTAATCCAGAAATCAGCTTTTGATTTGACAGACTTGGAGACACTGGAAATTGAGTTTTGGAGTGGATTGATAATGTGATCAATCTAAAAGATGGAGTTTAGATACATTGCTTTTTAATACAATATAAAAATAAGAAAGAATCTTTTAATACATACATACAAATATATATGTATATATATATATATATATATATATATATATATATATATATATATATATATATATATATATATATATATATATATATATATATACACACACACATATATATATATATATATATATATATATATATATATATATATATATATATATATATATATATATATATATATATATATATATATATATATAACAGATACATACAAATATCTCTCTCTCTCTCTATAATAAATTAGTAAAAACACTTATCTTGTTTTATTCTTCAACAACTTGTTTATTGATCAGTAGATTTATCAGAAGGCCATACCAAAAACTTACCATATGCTTCCTGATGAACCTACTAATGAAGAAACAAGTTGTTGAAGAATAAAACTAGATAAGTGTTTTACTAATTTATATATATACATATATATATATATATATATATATATATATATATATATATATATATATATATATATATATATATATATATATATATATATATATATATATATATATATATATATATATATACATATAAACACACAGTTGAAAATATTGCGCAATAAATTCGTAAAAATAATTAATTTTGTCTTTGACAGGCTGTTTCTCAAGTAGGTTTATTATTAAGAACCTACAGAAGGAGAAACAGCCTGTTGAAGACAAAATTATAATATTTTTTACTAATTTATTATTACTCTGCTCTTTAAGAACAGCAAGCACTCTATTTGTAGAATACATCTAAATATTAATATTCTTATTTAATGTTTAATGCTTAATGTGCTTAGTTACTGCTTAATGTGCTTAGTTACAATTGTTATGAACTGGCATAAGTGCAAAGCGTTGCAAAAACTAGAATAAGTGCAAATTGGCATAAGTGCAAAATAGCATAAGTGCAAACCAGTTACAAAAACTGGCACAAGTGCAAACTGGCATAAGTGGAAATATCCATAAGTGCGCTGAATAAAATATCAGATTTTAACATAAGTGCAAATTGACATTTTTCAATTATGCCGATTCGCACTTATGCCAGTTTTTGCAACTGCTTCGCACTTATGCCAATTCACACTTATGCCAATGTTTGCAAATAATTTAGGCCCACTTATGCCAGTTCGCACTTTTACCAGTTTTTCCAACTGCTTTGCATTTATGATAGTTTGCACTTATGCCAATGTTTGTAAATTCTTTTGGCGCACTTATGCCAATTTGCACTTATGTAACTGTTTTGCACTTATGTAACGACTTCTTTATATATTTAATAAATTGTTAAATCTGTTCTAAATTATTTCATCTTTTTATTGATTTAGATTAAAATATACTGGCTGACAATGCTTAATTTTTTTAAGAATATTGTGGATTGTAGTCTGCATTCTTTGTTAAATTAAAAATAATTTATGTTATTAAATATTGTTTTACATTTGTGATCAAAATCAAAGTTCATTTCATAATTAGTTTATATATTTTTTTGTCATACTAATTTGTAAATAAACTTCTAAAAAGATATGGATTTCAATAAATCTTTAATTAAAATAATTTTGAAATAATCTTGAAAATTTTTTTAAAGTTGGTTTAATTTTATATAATTCGTTGTTAAACTAATGTGTTAAATCGTAGAGATAGGTAAAAATCATAAGAAGAAATTCCAAAATTAATTTTTTTAGTCTTTCATGATTTAATTTAGTTTTACTTTTTTTTTATTTATTTTTAACAGTAATTAATTTTTTTTTTTTAATTTTTATTTATTTATTTTTTGTCAAGCAACCATGTACAATTAAAGGTAATTTCCGATAAAATATTTAGAAATATTAAATACAAGTACATTTCACTATTTATAATAGTTTCGAGACCGGAGAACATGAAGAAGATAAAATCTTATCATCAGTAGTCTTTGATAATAAAAGTTGGAAATAAAAGTGTATCGTTAGAAAAATCATGTAAAGAATCTTGATTGGCAATAAGTTCGATTATGTTCTTTTTAAAATTTTGAGAGGTATTGGCTTCTTTAAGTTTACCACTCAGGCTTGTAAAATGGTTCCATAGCATTGGGCCACGATAGGAAATGGCAAAGCTTGTAAGTTTTGATGTACGGAAAGGTTTTTTAAATCTTCTGGTAGATCGCGTGTTGTATTGGTTTAATGTTTTATGAAAAATATTTTCGAAAACCTTCGGCGTTTTTTTTGACTGATGTTGAAACATAAATTGTGTAATTTTGAAAATATTTAGTTCATAAATATCAAGTAAGAGATTTTATAAAAAAAAATTGTTATAAACTATAATAATGCTACTGGTAATATGCTTCATGATAACAGTGAACTTGAAAATAATTGTCAAAATGAAAGAGATTGAGTAAGGTGAAATTAAATTAATCTTTTTTAAAATGTAAGAAATTTTGCTTGGCAAGCAAAAACAAATTTGAACCCTAATGAGGATAATGTTCTTAGGCAAGTTAATAATAACCATTGTCGAAATAAAAGAGAAGAAGCTAGGCGAGATGAAATAATCATGAAATTAACCAACAAAGTATATGAAATGTTGCTAGATAAGGAAGAATGCATTGTTTAGCAAGAAGTAATAATATTCCAGATTGAGGTGCTAAAAACGTTTCCTGATGAAACACATTTTCTATTTTGCCATAATGGAAAGGTAGTTTTGCAACCACTTTCACCAATTCTGTAAGTTTTACAAGATTTATATGCAGGGAGTTATATAGATCATAATTCCAAAATGAGTTTTTTCAAATATATGCAATTTAATATTTCATTTGAAAATATAAACTTGTTGAGCTATATGCATAAAATGCTCGAGCAGCGCAAAATTTAAAACATTGAACTAATTAACAATTAGATCTCTAATGAAGGTAAGATCATTACTTTCTAGCATTTTCTGTTAAAAATGAGTAAAAAATAAGTAGGAGGTATGAATCAGACCTATCATGAGCCGTTTTACAGGTCCGGACTTTCTAGTATGCAATATAAAGGTTTTTATTATTTTTACCTGCAACCCCAAATGGTGCAAAATTACTGAAAATTTATATCTAGGACAGACTGCAAATGATAGACTTGACTTAGTTACTCAAGTATTTAAACTCAAATTAAACAATCTCCTAAATGATTTTTTTAAATATGGTGTATTAGGGAAAGTTGTAACTCATGTTCAAGTTATTGAATTTTATAAAATTTAAATAAAACTAGAGATTTTATTTTATTTAAATTGTTTTTCAGAGACAAGACATAAATTAAGAGACAAGACATAAATTAAGAGACAAGACATAAATTAAGAGACAAGACATAAATTAAGAGACAAGACATAAATTAAGAGACAAGACATAAATTAAGAGACAAGACATAAATTAAGCAGTCAAGACATAAATTAAGAGACAAGACATAAATTAAGCAGTCAAGTGAAGGGATTAGAGTTACCTGGACAAGTAAGAGATTGAGAAACACAAAAGTTATGAGATTTAGTGCCAGCAATGTCAGTTATATCTTGAGCTTTTACCATTACACCATTAGGATCATTCAGAAAATCACTTGTTGATCATTGTTCCTGATGATCTTGCTGAAGGTTAAACAGGCAGCAGAAGATTAAGTTAGATAAGTATTTTTTTTTTACTAATTTATATATAAATGTATATATATATATATATATATATATATATATATATATATGTATATATATATATATATATATATATATATATATATATATATATATATATATATATATATATATATATATATATATATATATATATATATATATATATATATATATATATAAATATATTGTGGATGTTCAAATAAAAAAAATTTTCAAAACGCGAATACTTAAGAAGCCAAATATCAGGCAATATAAAAAAAAAAAGCTTACAAAAGAAAAATTCCAAAAATAATGGCGTTTATCTTGTGCTCAAGTAGCAAAATACCCTAAAAAATACCCCAAATTGTTCCTAAATTATTTAGCTTTGAGCTTAAATCTCAATATTTTTAAAAACTATTTTTTTAAATGTGATCATAATGATCCAAACTTTTTATTTAGATTGTTGTGTATCCTGGTTTTTTTTTCACAAATTATGCAAAAAAAATAACTTTTTTTTTTTGCGTATTTGTGCAAAATTATTTTTTTGTTAAATCTTTTTTTTAATATAAACAATAAATAAAAACTTAAGACCATTATGATCACATTAGAAAAATAATTTTAAAATATTGAGATTCACCTTGGGCTCAAAGCCAAATAATTTAGGAACAATTTGGGGCATTTTTTGCAGTATTCTTCTGCTTGAGCACATAGTGTAAATGTCAATATTTTTGGATTTTTTCTTCAAAATTTAGTGAGAGACTATTTAATAGAAAATGATGAAGCGCATTTGTTAAATAATGGAATGCCTGGTCTCAAATGGTACCAAAATTTTATGAGGTGATGGTATTCAGAACTTAGCAAAAACTTAGCAAAAGAACACCGATAAACACCGCATCTTTAAGAGGATGGTTATGCACATCACAAATTACTGCTCATTATCTTGTAGTTTTGAAAAAAATATGTTGATTTGGTAAAAGTAGGTTTTAGTAAAAATATGCAATAGTAGAATTGTGATGAAATTGTTTTTATTGTTAAAAGCAATGCAAAAGTAATCACTAGGTGCAAAGTGTCCACTAGTATTAACTAGAAATAATGAAACTTAAGGCAGATTTTATGCTGAAAGTGGTTGCAGCAATTTGTCTGGTTTTGAAAAAACTCTTTTCATTAAATTAAGACAACTTACATAATTAAAGGTTTGACGAATTACAAATTTGTCAACCTTTTAGTAACAACTTAAAAACATAACAAGCAATTACAAAATTACCACTTAGCCCAAGTTCTTTTTCACAAACTGATCAACAATTGCCAACCTCAAATCCACTTGCAACAAAAACCTCAACTTCAACTGCAAGACTAACTTCAATTCCAACTCTTTAAATTTAATTTCTCAAGAAGAATTGACAACTTGTGTAAAACTCAGTCTTGAAAAAACTCTCTTGGATCAATTCCAATTCCAAAATGCTTACAAACACTCTGCAAAAAAAGCCAAAAGTGTCAGAGCAGGGGCTAATCAAGCTTTTACAGAAGAAGCAATGTTAAACCAGTTAAGAGAAGAAGTTGCAAAATTATTAAAAGAAAACATGTTGAAACAGCAGCAAAAGAAGAAAAAACTCAAGAAAGTCAAAAAAAGAACAGAAAGTTACAAAAAATTTAATTCTTTTTTTTCTAGCTTTTTCTGTTTGTATTAATAATATATAAACATTTTGACATTGTAAAAAATTATTTTTTGATTAATTTTTTTTTTTTTTTTTGTCTGTTTGTCAAAGTTTTTTTCATTTAATTTCCAATTGTCTGCTTTAAATGAGAGTTTTGTTAAATGCGAACACTTCTTTTTTTTTGTTTTTAAAAAAAAAAATCTTTCTTTCAATTGAAACTTAAAAATTTATTTTTGATATTGCAGAATTGCCAAAAAATTGAAAAAAAAAACAAATTCTCAATTTTAAAATAGTTATTCAGCTTTTTATGAAGATTTTGTTTGATCTTTTGTTTTGGGTGCTTTACTCTGAAACAATTAAAAATTAATTAAAGTTATGTTCACAACTTGTAAGGTACAAAACAGTCTTTGCACAAAAACGTTCAACAAGTTGCTCAAAAGATATTTTCTGCTCTTACTGTGATTTTTCCACTTTTGAATCTTTGTTTTTTTATTTATGTTCTTTTTTTTGTTGTTGTTCTTTTGTTGAGAACAAACATACAAATATTTATAAATAATTGACCTTGATTTTCCATATATTGATCTCTTTTAATTTTAATTTTTTTTAATATTTAAGCTTAAAGAGCTTAAATATTAAAAAAAATTCAATCCAGTAAACAGTGGGCTCAGACTATGTAAAAAAATTTTTTAAGTTTTCTAAAAAAATAATTCTATATACTTAGAGAGGTAGAGGGGGTTGATCTTAAACCATTAACCTTATCTTAATTGTTATAAATGAATGTATTAAGTATAAAAGATAAAGAAAACAAAACACTACTTCATAAACAAAACTCTATTTCATAAAATAATTTTAAACAAAACTCTATTTCATAAAATGTAATTAAACAAGTAACCTTTCTGGCCATTGCTGACTTTCCAGGATAATATTCTCCTTGCTCCAGGAAACCAACAACCAACTCAAACAAACCTGGATTTTCAGCAAGTAAAGTTGTATCAAGCAATGGCTAAACAAAATTTTTATCAGCATTAAGAATATTTTTCAATAATATAACCATATCTAGATTTTTCATTTTTTAAAACCAATAAAAAAAGGCTTTTATTCTTTTTAAAAATTCTTATTGTAATAAATATTATATATACTACTTATTTATTATTTTATCAGATTTATCAAATTATTCATAAATATTTTATCATTTAAATTATTTGTTAACTATCAAATCATGCCTGCAAATAATTTTCAAGAGCGTATTTTCTTTTATCAATGAAATCTTGGTCCATATTACCAAACTTTTTTTTAACAGGCAACTGAAGCCAATGCAGCGATTCGTACTGATAATAAAAATTACATGGTAGTATTCTTGGATAGTAAATTTTGACTTTTCAAAACATATATATGAAAATTAAATTGAAACCTTTTCTCTAATCTGCATGTGAAAATCATGAAAGTCTGAGTACCGCCTTATGACAGTCCAGTTTCGAGAGCCTTCACTTGTTGTCCGACACACATGAATGGTATATATAGCATATGATTTGCTTCCATTATTCATTATATCTAAAGCATAATTTCTTTTTTATTCATAAAATATTTTTTGTATGAATGTATAACATTTATTTATTAGCTATAAATTAACATACACTATAACAGTTTAATGTTTTAGTTTTTTTAAATGAATCATTTTGATCTAGATTGTAAACACAACTTTGTGCTTAATTTTATTCTGTTTTAAATAATTTCAATTTTATTATATATTTTTTAGAATTGTACCCAAAACATCCTTGCAACTAATCTTTGTTAGTGCTCATGATATTTATATATATTAGTTTAGCTCACAGCATTCTGAAGTGAAATTCTGACGTGGTTCAAACCCTTGAGCTTCCACATTAAAAAAAAAATTTTTTTTTTTGATTTTTTAAAATATACAAAATATTTTTGAAATTCTATAGATATTTTTAATTTTATAAAGTTTAACTTGAAAATTGTATTGCGACAAAATCTCCTTAATTTTGATTTGCAGCATCTTAAAAAGTTAATCCATTTTTTGTTTAATAAATAGTATTAAAAATTGGCAGATTAGTGCCTAGTGGCCTAAGTAATTTTTTTGCTGCGCTTCTGAAATACAATGCAAGGGTTCAAATCGCTTGCACATTTATTATTTTTTTAATTTTCATAATACAAAATAAAACATTTTTAAAGTTCTATTAATGTTATATACTATAACATATATAAAGGCATTATATACATAACATATATTAAGGTATTATATACTATAACATATATCAAGGTATTATATACTATAACATATATTAAGGTATTATATACTATAACATATATAAAGGTATTATATACATAACATATATTAAGGTATTATATATATAACATATATAAAGGTATTATATACTATAACATATATTAAGGTATTATATACTATAACATATATAAAGGTATTATATACTACAGGGCGCGACAAATCGTTTTTTTTTTCACGGACGTTGACGTGCGTATCTTAAATTATTGACGAACGTCTAATTTAAGTGATACGTGCCAAATAATATATAAGAATATAAGTTTTATATTCAAATAAATTTTTATTCTAGTTAATAAGCTTTTGGATATATGAAAGATAGTTATTGAATTTAATCAATTATCATATTTTCGAAACAATTTTTAATGCATTTGCAAAGTGCGCGCAAATTATTGATTTTTGATATGCAATGATTGTATACTGTTATTCAACGGTGCAAAACTTTTTTTTTAATTTAGTTTGTTAAATTATTTACTCATAAAATATACGTATAAACGTAAAGAAATTAAAATAAAAAGAACTAAAGAAATAAATCGAAAAATGACGTCTCATTTATAAATATATATTAATTTTTATATTTATATAAATGGATTTAAAAATCGCTAGAACTTTTTAATTTATGGCCTTCCAAATGTCTAATACCAACCACTGCATCAATCCAATTTTTGACATGTTTTTAGGGCAAAAAGTCTTCAATTAACTGGCCATCAAGCTTTATACGCATAATATCTTCTAAGGTATCGTCATTTAATGAAGTTCGCAAAATATTTTTTTGTAAGTTCATACAAGAAAAACTGCGTTCGCAACTTGCCTTGAAGAGCTGAAAGTTAGCCTAATCTCTAACAAGACATTTATACTTGCCAATTCAGGTTCATTTTCCAGCAAAATATCTTTATAAATGCTTAAAAGTGAATTTATCCTTAGTTTAGAGACTTTCTCCCTGAATAAAGGCCACTGCAATAGACATAAATAAGTTTCTCTGCTTATCATAATATTGTTCTCATAAAAGTTGCAAACACTTTTTATTTCATTAAACCCCTATTTTATCAACATTGCTAATATTTTGATACTTTTGGCAAACCCAGCAAGAGAAACACTCATTTGATTTGTCAATATGAATCCAGCTTAGTTGTTGCCCGTGTTTTTTATTGCTTGGCGGCAATCCATTTACGGTGTTATAAAACATAAATTCAATATCTTTTGGCCATATATCCAATTTTCCCAAAGTCATAGCACAATCCAAGTCATTGAACTTTTTTTTCGGATGTTTAGTTTCTCTCTCTTCTTCTCCTTTACGTTTAATATTACGTTCCTCTGTACCATCTCTCTTTAACATTGAAAAGATTCTTAGTTGTTTTGACATTTTTTAAAAAATTTAAAAATAATAGTAATTAAGTATTTAATAATAAGTTAATAAAAATATCATATTATTGGTGTTGTTACAATAAAACGCACAATAAAAAAATTAAAATTTTAACAAACATAATAACTTTATATATTCTATTAGATTATGTATTTTTTAGCAAAACTTTTATAAGTTTTAAAATGCAAACTAACATTACTTCACTTTAAGGAAAATAAGAAAAAAACAAAAAACACGCTATTAAAAAAACCAATCATTGTTTAAGCATGGTTTTTTTTAACGTAATTGCAAATGGAGTCAGTTTAAATAAAAATTTTGAATGCATTTTTAAACGCATGCAAAAACCATGCTCAAACTAATTACTTTCTTCGTTCCATTGAAAGTAGCTTTAGCGTGGTTTCTTTTAAAGTCTTTAAAAATGGGTTAAAAATTTTTGTAATTAATTGTTTTTTGTTTTTTTTTAATAAATAAAAAACGACCAATAGTTAATTGTTTGGAAAAAAAAATTGCTATAGTAACGCGTTCATTTTGAAAAATTTTAGGCGAACGCCAACGTTTGCATTAGGAAAAGTAAAGGAACGTGACGTTCGTTTTTCTGTCTTTTTTGTGCAGACGTTCGCACGTTTGTCGATTTTTCGCGCCCTGTACTATAACATATACTAAGGTATTATATACATAACATATATAAAGGTATTATATACTATAACATATATTAAGGTATTATATACATAACATATATTAAGGTATTATATACTATAACAAACAAAAGGAAGAGAGTTTAAAAAAAAAAAATTTCAACAAACATCAAACACTGGGAGAAAATTTTTAGTGCATATATCACGATAGAAATACTTAAATTATTATTGTGTTTAGGTAACTAGTTAAGTTTGCGCACTTAACAGTCATTAAAGGGACAACTTTTTTTCTTATAGGAAAAATAAATTTTGCATTCAAATTTTTATTTTCTTCAAAATCAATTAACAGGGCAAAGGCTCTAATAAGAGCTCTAAAAAGCTGCGGATAACCTGTAAACAAACTTGATTTAAACTTAATAAATAAAAATATTTTTTTAAACTGTTTTTTAAATAATTTACAATTTTACAATAAGAAGTTATTAAATATTGAAAATTAATTGTTAACTCAAAGTAATTATTTGACAAATTTTTATTTTCTACCACTTACTAAAAGTTATTGAAATAAAACAACTATATATATATATATATATATATATATATATATATATATATATATATATATATATATATATATATATATACATATATATATATATATATATATATATATATATATATATATATATATATATATATATATATATATATATATATATATATTGTTATTCACCTCCTCAAAGCCGAGAAGGCCACTACAGACGAGGAGGCTACTTAATAGTGGTTATAACCCTCTCTCAACTCTATAACTCCGAAACACGAACCTTGACGAACAAGGCCGCTGCGCAGAGAAACAAGTTGAATATAGAATAAGTATCAGGGTTGGAAAAAACCCAGGGTTTTTTAAAAAAACCCAACCCAAATGGGTTTTTTTGGGTTTTTTTAAAAATCGATCAAAATACCAAATTTTTATAATTGTATGAGTACAATAATTTTTTTTTTAATTTCATAAATTCACCTCCCTATTGCTCCAATGACCATTTCAGTGAAGGGAGCAACTCATTTTTTAAAAATATTTTGTCTCAATCCTTAACATTACCATTTTTACTTAAAAACAACATTACCAACTAAAATTTTTAAACAAAGGCGCTGTGTGAAGAAATAGATTGAGACAGTAATTTCAGCAGAGGTAATTTGAACCCCAACATTCTGGTTGCGAGCCAAATGTTTTGCTACTAGTCTACTAGCACATTTTGCCTATAGTGCAAAAAGGGACTCCATCAACTATAAATGATGTTAATTAATTGCTCTAAATTAAAAACATGTTCAGAATATTTTTGACTAAAAAAAAATTAGTGTAAAAATCATGACAATTGAGTTATTCAAAGTTGGTAAGACAATATAAATGTTGCAAACTAGTTTTTTTTACTAACATGTTCAACATATCATTTCAAAAACTACTTTGCACAAGTTTACAACATGTAATCAACAAGTTTGCAACATGATGTTGCAACCTTATAAGTTATTATCAATCAGGATGACTATGAACACTTTTTAAACATTTTTGTATCATAGAAGAAAACTGCTAGTCTAATCACTACATTTTTTTTTTATCAGAATATTATACTGTCCAGCTTCCTGGAAAAGTTATCGGCCTGATCAACTGGACTGGCAAAAAATGGATTTTTGCCTAAACTTTGTTTCTAAATATATATAAAGTAAATTTGTTAAGAACCATTACAGTGTCTTCGCCACCAAGTTTTTTTTTTTTTCCTTGAAGATGTTTTACTGGCTCAGTTTTGCAATGCAAATTGCAAACTGAATCAAAGTAACACATATAGCTCTATTGTGTGTGTGTTTCTTCACCTTTTAGCAACTTGATACTGATGTTAATTTTCAACCCGCTGTTCATAGTCACCCGCTTTCAACCCGCTGTTCATAGTACATGTTGTAAACTTGTAGCTGATGCAAAATATTCAAAACCTGTCAAAAAACAGATAAGCACGAGTGTCATTTTTACCAAAAAATCTTGTCCTTGTGAAATGCATACAAGTTTTCAACATGTTCTCTCATTGAATGAGCAAACATGTTGCAAGCTTGCTTGCACATAACCTAATTTTTTTTTAAGTTTTAAAGTTGTATGCACTTAAGGACAAATCTAGTAAACTGTAACATTTTTTTTTTTGCCTGACAACTTTCCATTTCTAAACTGTAAATAAAGTTTAATAGTTTATATATATAGTATTTTGCTTGTGGCTTTGTATTTTTTTTTGGCAGTTAACAACATAAGCTTTAAAAAATAAATGATCAAATACCAATATAAAGGAATATAGACATTCGGGAGGAGAATAAAGATACTAAATAACTAGTAATGTCTTGAAATTTAGTTAATAGAATGATTTTTATTTCCTTTATAAGTATTTAACTAATTTAATGTTTTAATACATATTTCAATAACATTTATAATAACTTGCTAAATGTTTTAAAAAAATAATAAATAACCAACTTGCTACAAAAACAGATTGATCGATTTTGGGTATATTCTAAAGACCGTTATGTATATAAATACAGTGTTTACAAGAGTAATTACAGTATAAAGGTTGTACTTGCTGATAATAAAGCATTTATAAGTGTTAAAATCAGAGATATCAGTTGTAAAATAGGTCATTTTTAAAAAAACCCAAATTTTGGGTTTTTTTGGGTTTTATTGGGTTTTTTTAAGGTGGGTTTTTTTGGGTTTTTTTGGGTTGGGTTTTTTTGGGTTGGGTTTTTTTTGCCAACCCTGATAAGTATAGAGATGGTCGGTGTGGAATAGACATATCGTGACAGGTATTATATGGGCCATGGTAATTTCATTATTCCACATATTTTTATATCTAATTTCAAATGTTTTTTAAACTTTTTATATTAATTGTAATTAATCAATGTGTTTCAACCGGGTACTCTAAATATTATTTAAAATGCCAGCATAATTATAATACAAATATTAGTACCCACTTCGGGTATATAATTTATATCGCTGATAAATAGCAATTCGCACAATGACTACCCAAGCCTTTAAAATTTTTTAAAGTTAATTGTGTTATAAATTATTTTTTTATTCCTAACTTATAAAGATAGACGTTACTAGAGTTTTTCTTTTTTGCTAACTAAAAAAAAATTGAATATAAGGCAGCCGTAAAAATATTTTTTGAAAATTTTTTTCTCACTAGAAGGGAGAAAAAAAAATCATAAAAAAAGGAACACAGCAGCTGTGATCACAACTAAATAGTTGTGTGTTACCTGACAAAAAATATTTTTAATAAATTAATTACACACATACACGCACGCACGCATGCACACACACACAAAACACTCAATAACTGATGGACAAAAAAAATGATATAAAACATGATTTCTGTGATTTTAACTATGCAAGTGTGTGCATTTAATAATCAGTAAATACACTATATTTATAAATACATATTTATAATAAATACAGTGTATTTATAACAAACACAGTATATTTATAATAAATACAGTGTATTTATAACAAACACAGTGTATTTATAACAAACACAGTATATTTACAATAAATACGGTGTATTTATAATAAATACAGTGTCTTTATAATAAATACAGTGTCTTTATAATAAATACAGTGTATTTATAATAACTACAGTGTATTTATAATAAATACAGTGTATTTATAATAAATACAGTGTATTCATAATAAATACAGTGTATTTATAACAAACACAGTATATTTATAATAAATACAGTGTATTTATAAATACATGGTCTATAAATAGAGTGTATAAGTACACTGTTTTGTTAATTTTTTGTTACAACTTTGTTAATTTATGCTTATATTATGCTTATAAATGTTAAAGCGCTGAATGTACAACTTTAATTAAAGAGAATAAATTGAATAAGTATATATAAAATGGTTTTACAATATTTATTAAAAAAAATATTTTTTACTTTTTGAACAAAATAAAACTCACTTGCTTGACCTATAAGAGCTGAAATTCTCAAATCATTGTCTGGAGTCCATGGTTGCATAAGGGGTGGTTCATCATGCATTATTCTAGAATGCTGATTACAACAAATATAATAAATTTATTTACAATTTATGTAAATTAAGACACTTCAAAATAATAAGTAAAATTTTTTATTTTTAAAGATTATAAAATAAAAGCATACATTACTTGCGTTAGACACTACAGACATAGTACGTGATCTGTCATCTAAATTAATCCAAATGAAAAAGTTACCAACCTTTCTTTGTTCATAAATTATTTTTTAAAAATGTAGCGAAAACTAAACTATCAGTGTAACTAATTGGTATACACATAAATTCTTAACATCAATAAACTGTGAAAAAAGAAAATAACATTTAAGATTATACTTTGACGTATAAAATATTTATAAATCTGGTTTACACAATTGAATTAACAAACAGCTTTTATATACAAAGTCAGCAGCAAGCCTCAAACTGAAATAAGCAATAAAATTGTCAAATATAAAAAGAAAAATGACATATTGAGAAAAATGTGAAAAAAGCCTCCATAATTCTTTTTTAGAAGAAGTGGATTTAAAATTATGTTTGTAAGTTTTTAACATAAGATTACGATTTGTTGGAACAAGTTATAGGTAAAGAAAAGAAAAAAGACTTTCAACTTATGTTGAAAATGTAAATTTTAAAAACATATCAATAGCTGGAGCATGGAGCACTTTCAAATTGTCTAAAAAACAATAAACCTTATGATTCCAATAATGCAAAAAAGTAGAAAAGCTTCACACGCAAATTGAAAAAAAACAGATGATTTATTGAACACAACTTAAGGTAGTAACAATAAAGTAAAATTAGTAGCAATAAGATCAAATTAAAATAATTGAATAGCAGAAACACTCAATGAGTTTATCATGTCAGTTTAATGAAAAGAAACTAGATATCCTCAGACTTTCAGTAATGTTGCTAAAAGTATTTTACCTCAATACTTTATTATATAACCCCAATACTTGGGTTCTAGCTTTTCTGAAGATGATAATGAAGCTGCAAAATTTTAATAGATTTGAAAATATATTTTAACAACTATTATCAAACTAACAAAACACCGAATTTCTTTTTAATAACACTTAATTGGTCTCTATTTAAGCCTGTTTTTTGTGTGAATTTGTCTAAAAAAATGTATAACCAATAGAACTGTGATTCATTTTCAATCAAATATGATTAAATCAAATATCATGTGATTCAAATAATTTCTACATAATCCTTAAGTATAACCAAGTATAGCATTTTTTCAAACAACAATCTTTTACTGCTATATGAAAATAGGACTGCATCTTTTTATTTAAAGAATACCACCATTCTGCCTCACTCTCTCCACATTAGTTGAAGACTTTATAAACATTTGAAAAATTTATAAGCTTTTGAATGTTTATACAAAATATAATAGTTAGAAATTAACAACTTCATTAATAATGTAAATATTGTTAATTTTTAATTATTGTTAATAATGTAAATATGTTGTTAATTTTTAACTACAATCTGCTTTTCATTAAAATTAAAAATAATAAAAAACTCAGGGAGATTAGCAATTAGTTAGTTTCAAAGTTTTTTTTTCTTCTTTTTAATTAAATTTAAATCATTTTTTTATCTCTTAAATCTCAATTCTCAACTTCAACTTCTAACTTCAAAACAAAAACCCTGAAGCCTTTATCTGTAAAATCATTTTGAGAGCTTTTAAAGCATGATGTTAAAGCATTAGTATTAAACCTCAAACAGCAGAAACACTCTACTTATTGCAAGATTAAACACCCTCCTTATTGCAAAAGAAACACCCTGCCTATTGCAAGAGAAACACCCTGTTTATTGCATGTGAAACACCTTGCTTAGTGCAAGAGAATTAAACTTGTTTATTACAAGAGCACTCTACAGATGCACATCAATAAACAAAAATATGTTTTTATTATATTAGTTACAAAATTTATTATAAGTAAAAAGATATTGAACGAATGTTAGTCAAACTAAAAAGTTAGTTATTTTTATTAACAATTTTTATTACAGCCAAAACTTATTCGACTAATTACAGTATATTAAAAAGTTAATTGACTACTTTTACTAAAATGAAAAAGTTTGTCAGCTGTTAGTCAAGAGTTTGTCAGCTATCATTAAAAAGTTAGTAGAAGACCCAAAAATTTATTCATTTAATATCAACAAACTAGAAAGTTAGCTGACTAATATCAACAAACTAGAAAGTAAATTTAAATAATTTTTAAAAAACAATGGACTCATACAGTTCCTTGACCAACACTCAACCTTACTACTCTTACTTTAGATGTAGAACTTTCAATAACAACTGTCTGCTATGTTAAATATAAAAGGATCTATTTTTAAAGTTTTTTAACTGGCACAGTTTTTTTGAGTTTGTTGTAAATAACGCTACGGCATAACTATCAAAAGCACCTTTTTAAATCAAGTGTTTCTATAGTTCATTATCATATTGATAATTTTTAAATTAAATTTAGTATCTAATGAATCAATTATACAAATTGTTATTAGTCTTACTACTGCATTGCATTTTTGAAGCCAAATTGAAAAATCCATTATAATCAAGATTTTTCTCAATTGAATATATAACAGCTTTTTTGCTGGTAATATGCTTATTGGCCTCTAACTCTCCATAATGGTTTTATTTCCTTTTTTATAAACAGGTTTTATCATAGCTAATTTCAATTCTTGTGGGGAAAATCCATTACTAATAGAATTATTATTCATTTTGGTTAAAAAATGAGTGTTGATAAACAATGTTTAACTAACTTTTTACTTATTAGATCAAAACCACAACTTTTTGAAGCAAGGCTATTAACAATTTGTGTAATTGATTTATTAGATACTGACTTTAAATCTCAAATAACAAATTGTGAAATGGAAGATATTTGGAATAGCTTAAAAAGTTAAAGTAGTTTGGTCTTAGCTTACAGGGCCATCAACACGTTTGACCCTGTGAGCTAAGACCAAAAAAAAATTTATTAACAAAATTCAATCTGAATTTCGTTAATAAATTTTTTGTTACTTAATTCAAGGCTATCATTCTTAAAGGAGTTGTCCATTTTTGATTTTATTATGTAAATTTAGTTTTTTCAATAAATGATTAGAAAATCTTTATAGTTTATACCATGGTTATAAAACATCAAGTTAAATCATAATTATAAAATAAAAACTACAAAGTTGTGTTAATAACTTAGCGCAGTACAAAAGCCTTATAAATCAAAAATCTTACAAAATTCAATTACCTGCATTATGCAAAGACTGGTCATCCTCTAAAGTAACAAACAAATCATAAATATATATATCTATGAAAACAACACAAAAACATAAAAATAATTTAAAAAAAAAATGTATTTTAGTCAAATTATGAAAAAAACATCTAAACAATTTCTTGCTAATAAAATATAAATAAATGTTTATCTATTATAAACTAATTTAAAAAAAACAGACCAGATTTGTTCACAAGATCCAAATCAACCAAACATCTAAAAAAAAAAAAGTTTATATAAAAGTTTTAATAAAAATAGATAAAATTTTACAAAATTTTTGTTTCATCATAAAAAATCATTTTAAACCTTAAAAAATAGTAACATTGCATGCTTTGAAATTAAAAAAAAATTTTTTTTAAGACTTACTTGACATAAGCAGTACTGTTTAAAAATGTTCCATAGTATTTTTGACTAGAGAGTATTTTGTAAACCTATAGAAGTGTGTATATGTATATACATATATATGTTTAAACAAATATATATATATATATATATATATATATATATATATATATATATATATATATATATATATGTATATATAATATTATATTGTATGATATTTTGTATTTGCAATAAAATACAAAAAACTCTTGAACGTATAAGAGTGCTCAATAATAAATAAATAGGATTTATTTATATTATTTAATAGAGCATTATATTAATTTATAAAAATAAAGAAAACAACTTTTTATGGTCCTAATAGTTTCATGCCTAAAGGCAATCATCAGCCATGTAATACAAAACATATTATATAAAACATATAGATATTTTAACGGTTTTTTTTGTTTCTTGTTTTGTATTACATGGCTGATGATTGCCTTTAGGCATGAAACTATTAGTACCATAAAAAGTTGTTTTCTTTATTTTTATAAATTAATATATATATATATATATATATATATATATGTGTGTGTGTGTGTGTGTGTGTGTGTGTGTGTGTGTGTGTGTGTGTGTGTGTGTGTGTGTGTGTGTGTGTGTGTTCTAAATGTGTTCTATATAAAAAATAACAATGAATTATAAAATTTTATTATTAAGAATATTTTAAGAAATGCTTCAAGACCTTTCAACATTTAATAAGTCTCTAATATTACTAAAGATCCTTCCTTCAAAAATAGTTTAACTTGGGATTCAAATGGAACAAAATTATATAAAAAAATTAAAGATAATAATTATTCTATAAAAAACATACCAACAAAAAAAATTATTGAAAAAATAACTTTTAAAAATTTAATAAAAAAAAGTTTTTTTTTTAATAAATTTTTTTAGTCGCTCCAAAGTCATTAACACCAAAAGTTGCAATATTGTTTGTATTTCATCTTACTTAAACAGAACATGCTACACAATTAAAAAATATCAGTAGATAAGTACACAATACTTATTAGGTAGAATAAATTCAAATATATATTCAAAGTTGTCAGCATAATCCTTTTTTGATTCAAACTGTGGCATAAGACTGTGAGAGTGAACTCAAGCTCTTTTAAAACAGTCTCTAGCACCAAAGCCATAAACTGCATGAAAGGCTTCTGTAAGAAGTTTCAAATAGTTACAAATTTTTTTATAGGCTCATAGTGACTGGTGGCTCAGATGCATTAACCCAATTAATATGTTCCACCCAGTAACTCAATCAATAAGTTCCACACAATGTCACTTATAATTGCATTAATTATGTGATAGTTGGTGTGATTATGTATAAACAGTTGGTCTGAAGAAAGGTCATCTAAGACATCTTCTTCTAAAATTAGCATACTGACTCGGCGTTTAATTGGTTGGACCTAAATGATTGGTTTTGATTCACAGGTTTGCAGTGTCTTTGCAATGGGGCTACTAAAACTGGTAGCACCAGATGTAGCACTATCGAAATGTGTAAATAGATGATGCCAAGGCAACTCATTTGAATGCAACATATAAATGAACCAGTTCAAAGGAAATCCAAGAAGTAGTTTAATTTTTCAGATTATACCACATTTGGAAATGACTTGATTTTTTCTGAAATTATAATACTGCTGATGTTGATAATTTTTCATCATTGTCACTGAGATACACTTCACTATCATTATCCTCTTCACTCGAGTCCATCTTAGCATCATCCATTACTTAAAAACTCAACTTCTCAGCTTTATCTGATCTGTATGTCAAAAGTCGTTCTTCAATAGAATGCTTATTTTTTAAATGTTTCTGCAATCTGGTCATTATTACTCTATCAACACCACCAATAAATATACAAGGAGAATTTCTCTGATCGAGTAAGAATAATTATTTCATGGGTAGAACTTTTAATTCTTTACAATACTTGCAGGAAACAGTCACTTGCCTGGTAGATTCGTTGTATAAAACCAAGCATTTAAATGATGTAATATCAAACAAAGAATCCAAGATCTTTTGGAAATAAGCATAACAATTAGAAGTGGATTTTGAGCAACACAATTCTGCTCCCGTAGTAATTATGGCGTCTACATGATTCACCACAGGTGGTGAATCATGTAGACGCCATACTAACAACTAACTAACAGATTTTATTTGTTAGTTAGTTGGTAGAACATTTTGTGGCAGATCACAGCTTTCACCATATATTGAATGTCTTTTCAGCTGTCGTGTACCTATAATGTAATAACGTAAGCGTACCATAACTTAACTAAAACAAAAATTTCAGACCCAAAAATGGGGCTTTTCTTGTAAAGCATTTGTATTTTTTACAACTGCTTCTGGTTTCATACATGGATCAGGAAATAAGTATAGAGTTTTGTGATGAAATTCATATTGTAACACAGAAATAGCCAACTGAAGGGCAGCAGTTAATATATTCTCGGTATGAAAAGGTATATGGATTCAAGTTAATAATTCCAAAAAAGCATGATGATGGAGTCTATATAACATACAAATAAAAAATGTGATAATTGGTTTTTTATAACTTTATTTCAAAATATATTTATATTATATATTTATATTATTATATGAAAAGTTTAGTAATTAAAATAGGATGACAAAATCTTTCAATGTAGCAATTTTATAAATGATAAAAATTCCACAATAAAATAGGAGTTTGGTAATAGGCTGCTTTGTGACATTTTGATAGAATTTTTTTTAAATCGTCTTTCTTTTTTAAAGTGTTGATTAAAGGTATTTGAGTACTTTGTTATGTTGTCAATTTTAGACAAGAAGTTGCGTGAGAGGTTGTGTTTAACAATTTACCAATATTCTCAGTGAAAATTTATGTAAACAAATCATTATATCAATAAAATTAATTTCTCAAAAAAACAAACAAAAAAAAAAACAAAAAAAAAAAGAGGTAATAGTAACAACTAATAAAAAAAAAAATAACTCATGTGTTAACTAGTGTGTTAATTTTGCATACCTATATTATGTCATAATACCTTAATTATGTCATAATTTATTAATTGAAACAACAAATATTTAGTGTTATATACATATAAATTAGTGGATCAATATAAGAAATGGAAGGCTAACATTAATCTAAATAACATTTATCACAACAACAAAAAAATAAAAATCATACAGCCATATGTGCATTATCAAAATAAGCTCCACTTGGTTCTGTGCTCTTAATATCTTTAATGATCTTTCTTACTAATTGATCATCAAGCAAAATCCTTGGAGAGGCCTAAATAACAGTAACAGTTCCTCAAAATGTATAATAGCAGTTACATTAAATATATATTTGTAGAGCTTGTGTTACAACTCTTATATAAATTTGCATAATAGCTCATATATAAATTTGAAAATGTAACATTTATAGGTGCAATTTTATTTTTAAAAGATTTACAATTAAAACTATGACAAATAAAAATTTAAAACTGAAATCATCACAGAGAGTTATTAACAAACAAATATGTTTGCTACAAACTACTGAAAAAATTAACAAGCAAATAAATTTATAAACCAATAAAAATTATATTGACAACTATGACATGGTAAATAGTCACAAAAAAAGGCACCAAAAATATATTTACGGAACAAATAAAAAATAACTAATGAATTCTCTCATTTAATATAAAAAGCTTCTATTATTTTAATATATTTTTGGTAGAGACATTAATAGTTTTACAGTTAATGAATCAAAATTTTTATTGTTAATGAAATCAAAATTTTTACATTTAATGAATGAATTTATAAACTTTAGGTTGTCACTTGTAGTATGTAATTACAAATCATGTCAAGAATTAAAATTATCATATTTTACTTGACACTGATCAACAGCTATTTTGATGCAGAGGTATTTGCAGCGGATTTTATTGGAACTTGATGTTCTGAATTAAAATATACCGTTAAATTTTACCTATCAGCACAAATTTTTAAGATATAATATTTTAGTGAAATATGCATTACACTATTTGAAAAATAGTCAAAATAGTGTAACGTATATTTGTATGGCTTTTTTTATGTAAAAAAGATACTAAAAATGAAGTTTTTTAAAACATTTTAACATATTTTGCTTTTTGTCTAAATTGGTACCACTTTTAATTGAAGAGGATTGATGCTTTTTTCCCAAAGCTTCCTGACCTTCATATTAAACTTTCATTTAACTTTTGCTTCAAGAGTTCTTACTATTGTCTATTAACTTCTTATTCACAGTATTTTTGAATCTATTGTAGATTGATGATATTAAAATTCTTAAAAATCTGAATTCTTAAAAAGCTGAATCTTGTTCTGAACCTTGATCAACATTTTAAACCTTCCTTGAAGTATGTAACACATATGGGTACTATTATAGCCATAAAGTCTTCTGCTTTAAAAGTTAAAATTGATGAAAAAGTAAACCTTTGTTTAAAAAGAAAACAAAAAAAGACATTTGAAAATATATTAGACAAAGTTACTTGTTTTGGTTAGAATAGAGCATAATAAAGTAAGATAAAAAATAGAGAAAATTATTTATATAGATCCTACTTTCAGTTATGCCATTAAAATAAAGTCTTTTTTTAATAACTAAATATAAGACATTTTACTGAAGAGGAGTATCCAAGTGTATTTATATATATGGTCAAATTAAAGCTCGTAAATTCAGAAAATCCCATGCAAATTTATATATCAATATTTGGAACACTTTCTTATTGAATATCCAATTAATTATTTAAAAAACATAACAGATCTTATATAAAAAGTCTATAAAATTAAAAAGTTCTTTTAAATGTATTAACAAAATCAGTAAAGAAATTATTGGCAGAGTCAGTAAACTTGTAGCTTATTGCTTGAGGTGCTATGATTGAGTCATATTCTCTAATAATTTTCAAAAAGACTACATTACCTAAAAAAAATTAAACATATGTAAAAAAATTAAACATTTATACAAATTGAAAATAATTAGCATTAGTTAAAAAAAAAACAAAAAAAAACTGAAGCTTTAGGTTTGGGCAAGTTAATGAATACTTTTTTTAAGTGAAACTGTTCAAAGAATTTTGTCATCTATGAAAGTATGTTTACTATAAGGTTACTAAGTGTTTTTATTACTATTACTATTTTTCAACTAAAAATAAAATTGTAATACAATAATAAACCTTTGGAGAAAGATATTCTTCATAAATATTGAAAGCAGCTTGACGAAGTTGTTCAAAGTTTTCAGACGAGGGCTGTTAAAAAAAATACAGGTATGTATAAATACATATATATATATATATAAACATATACACCGAACATATACATATGTATATATATATATATATATATATATATATATATATATATATATATACATATATATATATATATATATATATATATATATATATATATATATATATATATATATATATATATATATATATATATATATATATAAATATATATATATATATATATATATATATATACATGTATGTATGTATGTATGTATGTATGTATGTATGTATGTATGTATGTATGTATGTATGTATGTATGTATGTATGTATGTATGTATGTATGTCTGTCTGTCTGTCTGTCTGTCTGTATGTATGTATGTATGTATGTATGTATGTATGTATGAGAGCTATATATGGCTCTCGCAAAAGTATAATTTTTCTCATAAAAGTATAATTATTATTTTAAATAAAATAAAAAACACAATGTCGTTTAAAAAAAATTAATTGCATAATATACTGAAATGCTTTTAAAAAGACACGATTGTTGCAAATAAAAATTAGAATTAAAAAAGAGCATCAACTTAAATGAGGAGCAGCTCATACAGCTCCCTGAGTTCATTTTAGGAGAGCTTTTCTCTGCTCTCATACTCATTTATTCCCGCCGAGCCCTATATATATATATATATATATATATATATATATATATATATATATATATATATATATATATATATATATATATATATATATATATACACATATACATATATATATGTATATATATATATATATATATATATATATATATTCACACATATATATATGTATATATATATGTAAATATATATATATATATATATATATATATATATATATATATATATATATATATATATATATATATATATATATATATATATATATATATATATTAATTTTAAAATTTTGTTTAATGGTTAAAAAATCCTTTCTCAAACCTGCACATCTTAAAATGCAACAAGCTTGCTAAAAGTATTCAATATTTTTTTAAACTGCCATATAAAACTATTAAAATGTTGATGTTGGAATTCAAAATGAAATAAAAAATGGTTCCCACTCAAGATTTTTTTAGCTGTATATGTGGTTTGAATGTTTCCCACTCAAATCACATACACAGCTTAGAAAACATTGAATGAATCAGTATCATTATTAAAGAAAATCCTTATGCAACACATAATATAATTCAAACTCATAAGTTATTTTAGAAGTTAATGGACTTACTAGTTCAAAAATAAAAATATAACATGATATAATCCGAGAGATTTTTTTATAAAAATTATTGAATCAAACAATACCTTTAACAAAATATTTTTTAGAAAAAAAAACTGACAATTTTTTCATGCACACAGAATAAAATGCTTTTAGAGGCAGCAACATCCAAAATTTTCAATCGTCAGAGAAAAAGTTATTATTGTGACTAAGGCTTTCTCTGCATAACCATCTTATGTTTGGTTTTCAGTTAAAACCATTAAATCATTATTTCAAGATTTTTTGGTCATCATCTGATTTCTATCATGGAAATAAAAAACAAAAATAGTTTGGCTTAATAAATAATGCAATGCATAATTTTACATGAACTGAAAAAAAGAACTTAGAGAAATTGATTTCAAGATTTTTAACTTTCTTAACTTGCTTCCAAGATGTTTTGATTTTTTTAAATGTTTTTGCATTCCATTTCATAAAAATTTCTAATGATCAAATTTTCTTAAAATCATCATTAGATACCAATCAATTATTAAAATAAATAATCATACCACTGCAAGTTTTTTATTGTGAGCTTTTGTAGTTTCTTCTGCAAGAATACACAACTGTTGAATGGCTGTGGCACGAAAGCCCTAATAAGTTCTTGATATAAACATACTGCATAACAGATACATAGTTTAATAATACTGCATAACATAATATAATAATACTGCATAGCAGATACATAAGTAAATAAAAATAATAATATATAATATAACCACAGATAATAATCAGCAATATATTTAATGGTAAACATGTATAATATATGCTTATGAAATATGGTATGTTGGTACAGTTTACCAATATACCATATGTCATAAGCATATATTATACATGTTCACCATTAAATATATTGCTGATTATTATATGAATCGCTAACTTGAAAAAGGGGACATGTTATGTGAATTTTTGCAGGACATGTCCCCTTTTTCAAGTTAGCAACTTATATGTGGTTATATTATATAGTTTAAAATTATACAAAATGTATGTGCGTGTATGTGTATGCGTGTAATATATAATTATAATATTTTGAAAATTTATAAATAAATTTTTTAAAATATATCAAGCTGGTACTCAAAAGAAGCAACTCTTTATAAAAAATTCTAGAATAAAAATCATATTTTATAAAAACATGTTTTAAAACATTTATCTAAAAAGGTTTATCTAAATTATATTAGAAAAACTAAATTTTTTATAAAAGGGTAAAAAACTATAGCTTTTGTGCATTTAAAACAAATATATATATATATATATATATATATATATATATATATATATTATATATATATATATATATATATATATATATATATATATATATATATATACACACACACGCACATATACAACCCTCGGAATTAAGAAAAATGAGGTTGGCAATAATTTGCAGACCTCAATCTTTTAGAGGTCAGCATCAGGTCGGCAAAAAAAAAATTGATACAAAGGTCTTACCATAAAACATAGAAACGAGGTCGGCAATATTTGTCGACCTCAAACACTTTTAGGTCAGCAGTTAGGTCAGCATTGCCAACCCTAATTTAAAACCCTTTTAAAAAATTATAATAACATTATGCTCAACAAATCTACTTGAAACACAAAATTTTATTTTAACCAATTTAGAAAATCGTAAACCAGTTGATGTTATTTTTTGGATTTGTCATTTGACACATAAAAAATTGTTGCTCACTAGCCCATGGAATTGACAATAAAATGGATTGAAGCCTTTTTAAACAAAAGAAAACAAAGAGTTGTGAAATGCAGAAATTGGTGTGCCACGGGGGTTGGTAATTGAAGCACTCTTGTTTGTGCTATAAAAAATGTAACCAAGCAACATGCAGATGACACCAAAATATTGGATGAAATGCTTTGCTGTGCATTAACACCTTCTTTGCGATCAGATCTCAATTAGGCTTTTAAGTGCACTCAAGACTGGCTTGTAAAATTTAATATTTCATATTAAAAAGAAGATATGATTTGGCTTTTTGAAAATTTGGAAAAAATCAAAGAAATCAATTTTCAACAAACTCAAACGAAATATCATTGCTTAAAATATGTCAATTATGTCAAAGAAATCATAAAGCAAGTATGTTTTGCAGTTCAACCAATTTATGAAATAGCAACCAAGATGGTTAACACACAGTGTGGTATTAACACAAATCATTGTGTTAATACCACACTTACTAGCTCACTCCAATCACAATGATTATTAATACTAATTAATAATCTGTTCACATTAGGTTCAAGTAAAGTTTTATCGGCTTTTAAATTATTTTTTAAATACTTATACTAAATAATAAATATCAAATATATTGGTTTTGAAATTCTTTTTGATAAAAAGTAGCATAACTTTTTTAAAATTCAGTTTTAATTGTCAATTCAACATTTAAGAAAGGTTTGAATTACTTCCTTAAAAGTCATAGGCTGATGAAAGCTCTTATATTTTAAAAGGTGCATAAGTTTAGTAGTACTCCCAATGTAAAACTTTTCATAAAAAAACCACCTTGAAACATCAACGTATATCTATATCTATATACCCTATAGTAGATATATATATATATATATGCATGTGTGTGTGTGTACTTAAACAGCATATAAATATGGCGGTATATAACTTTACATTTGTTAAAGCCCACATAGGGCCCTATAAAAAGATTGTTGAAAACTTTAATTTCCTAATGTAGCTTTATTAAGCTTTCGAATTAAATGCCATGGCAACATAGGGAGAAAGAGAATTGATGTCATTGGGACATAGTTTATTTGTATTGTATTATAACAGTGACAGCAAATGAAACTAATTTTAAAAATCTCATTTTAAAATTAACGGAAACAAAAAAAAACAGAATGATGGTTGACAAAATGAGACGATACAATATTGAATAAAAGAACTTAAATATGAATTCATGAAAAACTAAAAAAACATTACAAAAATCACTGAATAAAAATAATTAAAAAAATTACTTGCCTCAATAGTTAAATGAAAAAATACATAATGTTCAGCATTATATGTAGCCATAAATTCTAAATAATTATTTTAAACCTTTTTTTATCTATTTTAAAGCATAAAAATGATTTAAATTTTTAAAAACAGCAAACATTTACCAATAAAGTATGACAATGCAGTGTTATCTTCCAAAATTTCTTTTAATGTTAACTTTGGCATGTTTTGAGCTGAGGGTAACATTTCCATAAACTCATTATCTGGTTCTTCCTGTAATTAAACAATTTTTATAAACAAAAATATATTATTTCAAAAGATTAAAAAAAATTCCAAACGAAAATCTGTACAAAACTAAAAATTTTGTCTTCAAAGTTTCTATAATTAAACAACTCATGCCTTAATCGTAATACTATGTCAATTAAATTTTTAACAATAAAAAATTAAACAATATATCAACAACAACAACAAAAAAATCCCTGGTTAATTTAACAAACCATGAGTCAATACAATACTGCTAAGAAATAAACCCTGAGTAAGAGACACAAGCCGATATTCGCCAATTCAGTTAAGTTATTCAAAGCTTTAGTTTGTATCAACAAAGTAAAATGACAGAAAAAAATGTTTGATTAATGCCAAAATATAGTTTTTTTTATGCCCATGATTACTAGGACTTGCTTGATAGAAAATGTTGATGGACAAATACTGTTTACTCAATGGGCAAAATGCTTTATCTACGCAGTTATATTACTTGGTTTGTAATTGATTTTCATTGTGCAAAACTTTGCAAATTTATAATGGACTTTAGGTTTTCAGAATTTCAATTGCATATTTTACATAGATTGTGGCCGGCTGTGAAATGTAAGTCAAATAGGGCTAGAAAACGATTTCCTATTTTTGTTTTGATATTTATGCTGTTCAGAGGGTAATACCAAATGATATTAGATTTAAGATTTAGTTTTTTTTATTGTTGTTTTTAATCCAGGATTAGTTGTGGTTGTTAGGTGAAGCTTTGAATTATATTCTAATTTTTTTCTTATGCTTCTTCATACACTGGAGTTTTGAAAGGGATTTCATTAATTGAGCATATAAAAAACTAGGATATAATGCAAAGATTACATACCAAACACCTGAGCAAGTGTCTAATTAAATCCTAGATCAAAGATCACAACTTTGTCTTTCTTTTTTTACCAGTATTATGGACTAGAAATTAATGATTTAACATGGCTCATTCACTAGATCAAATAGGAAAAAAGCAGCGTTTTCAGAAAATCAATGTTTTTGTTTAAAATCTTTTGTGAACAAATGGCGCAGCACAGATTTTTGAGATTCAAAGATTCATAATGAAGATGACAATAAAGAACAACAATGGATTTTTCAGCGTATAGAACAAAATTTGTGCAGTGATTTCAAGAAAGAAATATCTAAGCAATAAAATTTATTTTCCTCCAAAAAATATTTTTCAAAGTGTAAACTAAAATTTGCTTGGATTGTATAAACCTATCGTTGTTTTACTTTGTATTACAGAAAATTTAGAGATTTTTATGTTAAGAAAGCTGCTTTTTAACTTTTTATTGCTTCTAAATAATGCCTTGTTTAACAAAAGTTCTTTGTAATGGTAAAATTTTGTCAACATTTTTTTTTTTTTTAAATAAAAGAATTTGAAACCAAGGGGATTTCTCTGGTCAGCTCAAAATACTTATTTGTAATATTTTAACTGTAGTGTCCAATATAGTGGTGCCATACCTTTAAAATTTTTAATTTAAAATAATTTAGGGAGTGATTTTATGTGGTATTATGTACATGACATCTTCAGCCATTTGCAACTCTAAACCTAAGTATGTTCATGCTTATGTTATTATGGAAACAATATTATTATGGAAACAAAAACACCTTAAAAATGTTAATGCTGATTTGCCTTTATGCGTAAGGGTGATGAGCTAACAAAATATATAGTTTTACTATCTTATAGCTGATATATACATGGACAGGTTTTTAATTTAATCTCATCATCTTTTGGTGTTCGAAAGTTATGACCATGTAAACTTTCACCCTTTCTAAAATGAGGGGGTTGCAAATTTTTTATGATCATAACTTTTGAACACTTAAAGAATGTTATATGAAATTTGCCTGAAATTGTTATATGTGAAACATCATAATGTTCTATGGAGGCACACAGATTTATCTAGATATACATAATTACACAAAATGTTTAAAAATACATTTTGATGGAAAATAAATTTTTCACTAAAATCAAGCTTGGACATCAACTAAACAGTTTGATTAAATCTATCTTGGATTTCAGGGTTAGAACAATATCTCTCATTGCTCTGATAAACAGCAGTTGCTGCTTCTGTCACTTGCTTTACAACTCTTTCACAAGACTGGGTGTGAAGAGGATAGTAAGGTACTTTCATAGGAAAGTCTATTACTTATCATGACTAATGAAAGTTATTTTTTAGATAAAGGACATTGCTGTATAAAAAAAGGAAGCTTGCATACACACAAAAAAGAAATTTTGTTTCAAGTGTACACACAAAAAAAGAGGTTTAATTTAGGTGTAAAAAAAATTAAATTAAAAATTATACAAATTTAAATTTAAAAGTAACAACATTTTTGCAGGAGCATCAAGATAATACTAATTTATATTTTTATTTACAATAAATGAAATAAATTTAATATATTATTAAGAAAAAACTACAATATTAACAAAAAATATGTTTAAAGGCTTTTTGATCCTTATTATTTATAAGTTCAAAATAAAAAATTTATCCCCTAATATTTTATCTAATGATTATTTGATTATTTGATTATTTTTAGTTTCAAAAAACACTTAACTAATGCATTTAAAAAAATTCATTAGGGGGGGGGGGGGGTATAAAAAACAACTGTTTATTTGTTTTAGTACTTCTAAAACAATATGCTAAAATATTTAAAAAGCCTTTTTAGAAATTTTTTCAAAAATATATATTTATAAACAATATCTATATACGATTAAAGTTAATTTTTAAAGATTTTTCACTTAATTTGGATTGTTTAGATTGTTTCATATGGTTATGAGGTGATTTTTTATCATTTTGCTTGGTTTGAATACAAGCTAAAACTGTAACCAAGGTAACTGTAACGTAACAGTCTTGGTTACAGATGTGTGCTTGTTAAACATAAATTTTTATTTTTTTGCATTGAATTTTTTTTTTATTATCAATTTATTTGAAAAATAAAAATTTGTTTTTACCAAAGCAAGTGCAGCTTCCTCTGCCCTACCATTCTTCAAGCGCCTTAAGGTAGTAACACAAAGCTTGCGGACATACATTAAACTGCTCAGTTGTTGTTTAACACTCATTTCTGAATCATTTGACTCTAAATAAAAATAAAATAAAAATTAATCAGACAAATTAGAAAAAGCACAATATAAATTTCATATAAAATCCTTTAAACATATTAAAGTTTTTTTTTTTTGAAATCACTTGTTTTTCATGTATGCATGATAAAAATAATGTTTTTAGAAACTTTTTTCAATCAACAGGGGTAATTTGACTCAATCAAGATTTTCTATTAAACAACTGAAAAAACATTTAAAACAGTATACCAAGCACATGCGAATCTTGTGAACGAAGTTTTGCTATTTCTATATCAACTTTCTTTTTTGTTTCTTCTATATCATCAATATCAGTACTGTATCTAAATTAAACAGAGAAGATTTGTTGATACTTTTGCACTAAACTAGTACTCAGTACTTCAGCAGCAAGTTAGTGCTAATGAACTTGTACTCAGTACTTCAGCAGCAAGTTAGTGCTAATGAACTTGAACTCAGTACTTCAGCAGCAAGTTAGTGCTAATGAACTAGTACTATACTCAGTACTATAGTATCAAGTCAATACAGATGAAAAACATTTTAATTTTAACTTCAATTTAAATTTCTTCTAGTTTTTTTTTTAATAATTATGCAAAAAAAAGTGTTAGAACGTAATAGTTTTGTAAGCTAAACTTTGCAAACTCCAACACATCCCTAATATCTCAACTGTAGTGACCCACTTAGCCTTTGAAGGTGAACATTTATAATTACAAAAAAAAGTATTTTCTTTGTCCTTTGTTTTTTTTTCTTTTCTTTTCAGAATACCCTAAAATTAGTAGCTACTCCTTTATTTATGTTTTTATTTCTTTTATTAAACATTTTAAAATGAAAAAATATTCTTTTATTTGTAAATCAATAAAAATAAACAATAAATATGGGTATTATATATTATCTGTATGGAACTTATCTTGGACAAATTAATTAAAAAAACTCTTTAAACAGTTAATTAATTTTCTAGAGTTTTTTTACACTTTCTCACAAACTTTTTGGTGAATCAAAAAAATGACACCATCATAAGTAGAATATGACACCATCATAAGTAGAATATGACACCATCATGATTTACCCATCAAGCATAAAAGGATTTATAAATTTGGTATATATAAAATTATGTTAACAAAGTTTAAAATTTCTTTATATAAATTATAGACAATAGTTTCTATAATTATATGAAAAAAATAATTGCAATTGATTGCAAATTGAACATTAAAAAAAGTTTGAAATAATTTATTATAGAAATTAAAAAAATAAAGAACTTTTTTTTTTAATGTTCTCTAAACTGTTTTTTTTAATGTACAACAGTTGAACAAAAAATTATAAAAATATGAACTTTTTGATTGTAGTGGCCTGTAAGACTTTGGAGAGGTCTCTTTTTAAACCACCGTTACAAACTTTACTTAACCCTTTAATTACCTGATTGTTGTTAAAAATGCTTCAACAGTAAAAGTAGTGTCCTTGTTACACTAGAAAAAAGAATTATAAAGCAAATTTCATTTTTAACTTAACTCTGATTCAAAACTAAGTTTAAATATCAAAACACTTGCAACAATTTTTAAACAAAAATCAAAACATTTGCAACAATTTTTAAACAAAAATCAAAATACTCGCAACAATACTTGAACAAAAAACTGTTTTTAAACAATAAGTATGAATGAATTCAAAATCAACTACCATCCATGATATATTTTGATTCACATAATCTGGATCGCAGACCATTTTAATGGTAGGGAGGAACACACTTGTTGCTATTACTTCTAGAAGAAAAGCTCGAACTAGCTTATCTTGAAACTGTTCAGGGGGTAATAATAAATAAAGAAGTAGTTCTGTCACGTCTTGCAAATACTTTTGTTCAATCTCATCATCAAGACATACTGCTTGCCTGCTGATACCTTCAACTTCATTTTCAACAGAAAAAAATATTTCTTCTAGGTCTATTTCAGCTTGAGCTAGTGTTTCATCTACTGATAGATTTGTTGCTAAAATTCAATTCATTAATTATTTTTCTTTAACTAATAATATTTATCATTATTTACTTTTGAATTATTTTAATATAAGCTAAACTTATTTGAGAGAAAAAAAACACAATAACAACAACAAAACAACAACAATTTAACCTAATTTAAATGCAATAAAAATAAAAAAAACCGTTGTTTTTCCTCTCAATTCTTTCTTTAGTTATTCTGAAAATTCGCAAATGTGTGGCAAAAATATCCACTAAACGAGTGGTCAAAAATGGAACCCATTGTACCTCTTTTGATCTAAAAGTGTATAAAAAAAATTTAGCAATAACAAATAATAACAAAGAAGACATAATTAAAATAATAGCAACAGAAAACATAATATAAAAAGATTTATAATATAAAAATAATATAACAATAAAAAAAGTGAGAAATGGATAATCTTAAAAAGTCTGAAAAATTCAATATTAATAATAAAATTTATTTTGAAAAAAAAATTTTGACATTTAATTTTAAATTGGTTTCCAACAAATTAAAAACTAACCATACAACTATAGGTTATAATTTAATTTGTAATTAATATTATTAAAGTTTAAATTATATGATTCATGTTGGATATCAATAAGCATAGTTTGCACTTTTATACTGTGCGATATCAATCTAGTATTAAAAAGTATATAAAAATGATACAGTAAATTCTTGATAACTCAAACCTCCAAGGGACCAATGAAAATGGTCCAACCTAATGAATATTCTACTAAAGTGAATTCCTGTCAAACTTTGGTTGATATGAGATAATAGTTCGAGTTAAGGCAATTTTTTTTATTTAAATGCTAAAGTAAAAACATTAAATATACACCATTATACTAACAAAGACGTTAAAAATAATTTAATGAAATAAATTATGTATTATATACACGCTGTACACTCAAATGATAACAATAAAAGAGGTTTAGCAATACAAAGACTTCCTTATCATTTGGTAATAAAATATATAAAAGCTAAAAAATAGCTTTTATATTCAGTATTTTATTATAATTTATTTTGTAACTTTAATTGATTTTTGTAGCGTTATTTTATGTCCGATAACGATCTATTCAGAACTAAATACAACAAATATAAATAAACAAAATATAAATAAATAAAATTTATAAAAATATAATTAAAAACAAAAAATATAAACAATATTTACATTTTATATAAGGAAAAAAAAAAAAATTTAATCAAATTATTTTTATTTCTTTTTTCCCAGACAAAAAGTTCAAATGAAGTTCAAGTCAAACAAAAAAATCAAATGAAGTTCAAATGAAACAAAAATTTCAAGTTAACTGAAGAAATTTGTTGCAAAGGGATAAAAAATTAGTTAACCGGATAAATTTAATAGTAATCAATTAGATGATTTTTCATAATATGATTTTCTTAATAAAAATTGCACTGTGAAGATTACTATCCAAAGTTTATGAGCTTATCCTATATCCTCCTGCTACGATACTGACATCCAAATGGGAATTTTATATCAGAGCTTTTCTTTTCCTAGATGAGTCTTATGCTCCCTGATTTGATAAAACTCAAATTATTTTAGCAAATGAAAAAAAGATTTTGTTTATAATCAGAATAAAAATTTGGTTAATTTTTAAACTTTAGAAAAAGTATTTATGTGAATAACTTTTTTATGTTTAAAAACAAAAACCATCAAAAAAAAATATGATCTGAACAAAAAAATTACCTAGTTGCAAACATAATAACAATATGTTGAATGGTTTGACGCAGTTCATATAAGAATCGCTCATCGTCTGTTATGGATAAATACCAATTATGTATATAATCGCGAAGAAAATATTGTAAAATCTAAAAATAAAACACTTATTTCACTTAACACAAGTCTTTTACTAATTTTGTCAAGAATTATCTATTTAATAAGTTAAGAATGAAAGAAATGATTACAACATAATAAAGAATAGATCAACCTCTTGAATGACATCATCGATGCCACTTGAACCTGTCATACGCTTGTCATATTTGTAGTCATTTGGAGCTTTATTAATTTTTTCAAAGATTGAAGGTATACCACAGAAGTTATCTTTAAACGTGAATAGCTGCACATCATCTGATGAAAGAATATGTTTTGATTTTTTTATACTCCATTTTCCAATCACCAGAGCAAACCTATTGGTCAATAATCTTCTCGGTGAAAATTTTATATTAATAAGTAATCTTTCTTTTTTGTAACCTTACCTTGTGTAAACTTACTTGTGTAACGTTACCTTGTGTAAACTTACCTGTTTGTATTCTTACTTAATTGTTATATTAACAAGTAATTTTACTTGTTTTAACCTTGTTTTAATCTTACTTGTTTGTATCTTAAATACTAAAATAAATTTTATTAATAATGTTAAGATAAATTAGTAATGAGCTTTCTTTAATTCTCTCCTACATTTCAAGCCAGTAAACTCTATATTTTAAACCTATTGGTCAACAATTTTCTTGTTGAATTATGGAACGAACTATTTTAAATTACAAAATTACAAAACTTACAAAAACAAAGACAACCTAATAATGCTAGCTATTAGTAAAAATATTAGTGAGAAAATATCGCTTAGTAAAAAACAAAACATTTTTGTAAGAAAATATTATTTAATTATATGGACACGGAAAATTACGGTCAACTTTAAATTGAGATTTCTCTAAAACCATAAATGCTTTTTATTTCAATTTTTTTTATTACTAAATGTGTTTATATCAATTAGAGTTTCAACTTAATTTTAAAGGGCTTGATGGGCTGTTTGGCAAGAGATCAAATTTTATAGCAGGTTCATACCATTATTTTGCAAAATTTTTCTTTTTTTATTTTATTGGTGACATTATTCCGATCTCACTTCAGTAATAGATTGGGGTTCACAGTGGCTTGTGATTTTCAACTCTAACAAAACCCAGTTGTTTACTGCAAACAACTACCGTAATATGGTCAACATTCCTATATTAATGAATGGCAATCCTCTTACTGAGTCCTCCTCTTTACGTCTTCTTGGATTATCGCTTACTACTGACCTTTCATGGAAACCATACATACAATCGATTGCTAAATTAGCTTCTGCTAAGGTTGCTTCTCTTTATCGTGTTCGCCATTTCCTTACTTCTGATTCCATTCTCTACCTCTACAAATCTCTTATTTGTCCCTGTATGGAATACTGTTGTCATATTTGGGCTGTTCTTCTAACGATTCACTTTCTCTTCTTGACAAGGTCCAAAAACGCATTGTAAATGTTGTTGGACCTGGACTATCTGCTAAGCTTGAACCTCTTTCCCATCGTCGTAAAGTTGCATCTCTTTCTCTTTTCTACAGATACTATCATGGTCACTGCTCAAAGGAGTTATCATCTCTAGTTCCATCAACTAAAATTCATTCTCGTTTTACTCGTCATTCAGCTAAGTCTCATTCGTTTACTGTATCTGTCCCTGCATGCTCTAAAAACTTTTATTCATCTAGTTTTTTTCCACGCACTTCAATCCTTTGGAACTCTCTCTCATCTTCATGTTTTCCTGACTCATACAACCTTCAACTTTTCAAGTCTTCTGTCAACCGTTTCCTTGCTCTATAACTCTGTTCTTTTTTTTTCCTAGTAACTCCCAACTTAATAGTGGTTGCTTGCAGCCTTGTTGGGAATGAATGCAAATAAAATAAAAAAAAAATCCACTTTTTTTGGAAGTCCTTTTTAATTTATGTTACTCCACCTGTCTTACGAAGAAATCTTTTAACTATGGCTCAAAAATCTTCAATCTTGCGCTTTCCAGGACAATTTGAAGGATTTGCATCTTTAGGAACAATTTTAACATTATCTTTGTACCACTGCAGAACTTTTTTAGAATAGTGAGAAGCAGCAAAATCTGGCCAAAAGAGACATCGGTATTTGTGTTTTTTCATAAACTGTAAAAGTCTTTTTTGGATGCAGTCTTTGATGTAGAGATTCTTAGTGACAAAACAAGAGAACTGCACACCACAGCTACAAATTGCTTGCCACACAAGGAACTTGGATGCAAATTTTTCTCGTCAAATATATTTAAACTGATTATCAAAAGGTTTATCTTTGTTCTCATAGTAAAATTGCTGACCAGAAAGTTGTGAAAAATCCGCTATGCAATATGTTTTGTCGTCTTCAATTATACACATACTTTTATCTGCCATTATTTTAACCAACTTCTTTGCGCGCTGAGTTCCTTTAGTTTCACCATTTCTTGTTAGATCTTGCTGTGACTGGTTTGGATTTCTTGCTATTGAACGTAAAATCAACTTTACCTTTTTGGATTTATGGAAAGTTTTCTTATTTCCACTTCCAAGTTTTCTTTCAAAGCTTTGAGTAGTTATAAACTTATTTATAATATCTATGACTGTAGATATTGGGACATCTGAACATTTAGCAATCAAGAAATATGAAGTTATCTGATTTTTGCAAAAAAAATTCACAACTTATTTACGCACATCAATTTGTTTCTGAAACATTTTGTAAATCATTATTTGTAAACAAGTTTATCAACACAATTAAAGATAAGAAAGTAACGTTTAATTAAAAAAATAAAAGAAATAAAAAACATTTGTGGTTTTAGAGAAATCTTAATTTAAAGTTGACCTAATTTTTCCTTGTCCACCCGATATAAAAGAAAGCATGTAATTACCCAAAATAGATAGGAGTACAAGAATGTAATTACCCAGAATAAATAAGAGAACAAGAATGTAATTACCCAGATATAAATAGAAGAACATATAAAACTGAAAACAGAGTACCAATCACTCCGAAAGTTACAATGTAAAGAAAAAAAGCCAACAGAATCCACAAGAGATTAGATGGCAAAACAATCTAAAAACAAAAAACAAACTTTTGAAAAACTTTTATTTCCAAAAACATTAATATTTTTCAATTTATAATAATAAAATTAGAAGAAAAAAAAAATTTATAATAGTTTTACCTGGTCATACGTTCTTGAACTTTTTACTGTCTCTACCATACTATTGTTACATTTAAATTATTTTATAAACATGACAGTTTATAACTGAAAACAAAAAACATATTACATTAAACAAATAAATATGTTATACGCATGTTTATATAAGTTGAGCAAATTTAAAAGGTTTAAAATTTTATGTTACATACATATTTTGAGGCTTCTTAACATGCATGTTTATATAAGTTGAGCAAATTTAAAAGGTTAAAGATTCCATGTTACATACATGTTTTAAGGCTTCTTAATAAATTAAATTTCTCAAAGAAACATTAATTTAAAAAGAAAACAAGCCTCTCTAGAATGGAAACTAATTACCATTGTATAACATTTATTTGTCTTATTAGGGTGTGAGTACTACAAACAAATAAAACTGACATTTAATTAATAGAAAAGTGTAAAAATAATAATAATTAAACTGGATTTAAAAATAATGAAAAGAATAATTTTTTTTAAATTCACAACTATCACAAATTGACCATAAGTAAGTTACTTTTAATCATAAATAAATAGTACAACAATTAAAAGTAAATAAAATAATTAATTTTAAAAAGACAAAAGGGTAATTCCACATCAAATCACCCAAAATTTAGGAAATTTTGAACCATGGTTCTTCAAATTTTTTAAAAACTTCTTTGGCTGTTGCATCTTTAATAAAAAAGTTAAAACATAAAATTTTAGCTAAAAATGTTAAGCGGTTGACAAGATACTGCAATTTTAACATTGACCTGGTTTCCCAAAATGACCCGGTTTACATAACATTCTAAAAAAACATTTTTTTAAAAAAAATAAGAAATAAAAATGGCAAAAATATGAAAATAAACATATATAATGTTTTTTTGATGCTGAATTCAATAAATGTACTTAAAATGCTGAAATATAAAAGGAACATGCTTAAAAGTTAATAAAACAACTAGTTTCTATAATCCAACTTTGGGGCCCAATATCTCAAAACACCCCAGTCAAAATTTTTTTTTTTTTTGCTGTTAATATTTTTAGCTGCTTATAATCTTACTAGGCACAAAATATCTAACTGGAAAAACAACTAAAACATATGTAACTTTAATTTTAAAGATATATCAAATTTTCAATAAATTAGTTTAAAAAACTTGCAAATAGAATTTTGTAAAATATTAAATTTAGTTATATTTAAGGAAGTCTTAATTATATAATAAATTTTTTATTTGATCTTAACAACTGAAAAAAACATCCTGTTTTGTTTTTAAAATCTGACAAGGTGTGATATTGAAGTGCATTTGTTTTTAAAATTTTGACAACTATAATTTGTAAAAGTTTATAAAAAGTTCAGTTATAACAACATTTATCGGTAAAATTTTATTTAAATTTTAAAAATTTGATATATATATATATATATATATATATATATATATATATATATATATATAAGTATTTATAAAGAAAATTAACAATATCTATCAATGTAAAAATTATACAACAAAAGGATTCTGAAAAGGTTTGAATTATTTCTATATTCATTTTTTTTTACTCAAAATTATGTAGAAAAGAACAATTTTTTCCTTTTTTTTTAGGAAATACATTCATACTAAGTAACTTATTATAAGATGTGTTTTATTGGTTTATTGACATCAGATGAATGCAATGGCCAACAAGATGTTATTGAAACTTTAAGCAATGAAGAAAAAATAACTATATCACTACGCTGTAACATTGAGTTATCAAACTTAACGATATTATGTGAAAGACATACTACAAAATATTTGAAATTGTATCCTATATGGCAGAAAGCATGTTGTGATCCATTCAATAAACATACAAAGAAAATCACAAGTAAATAGATGTAGAATTTAAATTTTATATATATATATATATATATATATATATATATATATATATATATATATATATATATATATATATATATATATACTTTTTTAATTTGTATTTTCTAAAACATAAACAATGTTTTGAACAATTGTGCAGATAAGCTTTATACAATTCAATTACTTTTAGAAAATCTCATAGTAGTTACAATAAATGAGTCACAAGTCATGATGAGAAGTAGTTTAAATATTGTTCCTGGGAAGAAACTTTGCAAACCTTGTAAGCAAAAGATTGCCATAAAAGAAGATCTTAAAGAAAAGAAACAAAGCCAGGAATAAGATGAGGATTTTCTAATATCATCATTCAAATCAAAAAGACAGGAGATCAATGAAGAACTCAAAAATTTTAATATATCTCCTCTAAAATCTCATTCAAAGTCATCAAAACATATTCTCTCAGAAGGAAAGTGAAAAATTGCGCGCATCAACCAAATGGTAAATAACGTTACTAGAAAAACTGAAAGTCAAGTCAATGTTCCATCAAAACTGTGTTATGAAACAAATAACATGAAAAAGAAAGCTAAAAACTTTGATGAAATTATGAGCTTGATAAAAGAAAAAATTCTGTTCTGACAAAAGGACAATTGTTCAACTTCTAACACTGGCACCCCCAAGTTGGTCGATATTAGAAGTACAAAATAACTTTGTAGTTACAGAATACCAAGCAAAAATGGCTAGACAAATTTTTAATAAAAAAGGATTGTTAGCTATCTCTCCATTGTATAAAGGTAAAGTCTTACACAAAGAAATAGAAGATTCTGTTAATATTTGTTTTATGACTCAAGTGATTTATGTAGAACTATGTCTGGAAAAAAAGATTATGTTAGCATTCAAAAGAATATCCATAAACAAAAAAAACTGTTTTTGTGTAATTTAAAAGAACTATATGTATTATACAAAGAAAACAATCCAGAAATACAAATAAGTTACTCAAAATTTGCTTCACTTAGACCAAAGTGGTGCATTTTGCCAGGTGCAAATAGTACACAATCTGTTTGTGTTTGTTGTTATCACCAAAATGCCATATTGCTAGTAGATGCCTTAAATATTGGATTAAATTATAAGGATTTACTTTTGAAAACCGTTTGCTCAGTAGAAAACAAAGAATGCATGCTTGCACATTGTGATAATTGTCCTGGTAAAGAAACCCTCACCAAATATATGTATGAGATTTTCGGAGAATACGAAGATGATTTTGAGATACACTACAAGCAATGGCAAACTACTGATCGTGCAACACTATTGAGTTCAACAGCAGATGTTTCAACATTTGTTGAACTATTAGTATCTTGCTTTGAAAAGTTACAAGCTCATTCTTTTATTGCTCACTCTCAATCACAGTACCTTAACCAACTAAAACAAAATATGGATCAATCAAACATTATGATTATTGGCAACTTTGCTGAAAATTATACTTTTGTAGTCCAAGATGAAATATAAAGCTATCATTGGAACACCCAACAATGTTCTTTACATCCATTAGTGATATACTATAAAGATGATAAAGGTGTACTGAAACATATTTCTTATTGTTTTATATCAGACGACATTACACATGATGTAACTTATGTGTACAAAATATTTCAACTAATCATACCAATATTAAAAACAAAATTTTCCAATCTGTCCAAATTACATCTATTTACTGATGGTTGCGCAGGACAGTACAAAAATTGTAAAAGCTTTTACAACCTATGCCAACTAGAGAGCAAATTTTCCCTTAAAGTTGAATGGAATTTTTTTGCCACGTCACACGGAAAGTCACCATGCGATGGGATTGGCAACACTGTAAAAAGGTTAACAGCACAAGAAAGTTTAAAACGACCATACAGAAACCAAATTCTCACATCTGAAGCTATGTATGAATTTTGTATTAAGAAAATCAAGGTTGTTAACTTCATTTACATAAAGGGGATAGACTTACAATTGCAACGTGAGGAGCAAAAAGAAAGGTACACTGGTGTAACAATTCTACCTGGTGCTCATAGCTTTCATCAATTTATACATCTTGGAGATAACAGGGTTGGGGCAAAGAGGTGTAGTACAGACACTAATTATACAATAATTCACAACCTTAAAAAGAAACAAGATATATTTCAACTTGATACTGTCACCTTAGGAGGTTATGTAGCTGTAGTCTATGATGATAAGTGGTGGATCGGCATTGTAACTGAAAATAACCTAGAAGAAGTTGATGTTAAAGTTAAGTTTCTTCACCCAAAAGGTCCATCAATCTGTTTTAACTGGCCTGAAAGAGAGGACTACTGTTTTATTCCTTACACCAACATATTGAAAAAACCCACAAGCTCTGTTCCACAAGCTTGCTCTAGTTCCGGTAGAAACTATATGTTTAAAAATGCTGAAATAAAAGAAGTACAAGTAAAATGGGAACAATATTGTGAACTATTACAAACACAGTCAAAATAACTTGCATCTTGAAAAATCTTGTATATTTAAATACATTTTTAAATTACGATTAACTTATTTTTATTTTATTTACAAACATTTTTTGGGAATTTTTTGAAAAAGTAATACATCTTAGATATTAAAGTTTTATATGTTTCAGTTGTTTTTCCAGTTAGATATTTTGTGCCTAGTAAGATTATAAGCAGCTGAATATATTAACAGCAAAAAAAAAAAAATTTGACGGGGGTGTTTTGAGATATTGGGCCCCAAAGTTGGTTTATAGAAACTTGTTGTTTTATTAACTTTTAAGCTTGTTCCTTTTATATTTCAGCATTTTAAGTACATTTATTGAGTTCAGCAGCAAAAAAATATTATATATGTTTATTTTTATATTTTTGCCATTTTTATTTCTTATTTTTTTAAGAAAAAGATATTTTTAGAATGTTATGTAAACCGGGTCATTTTGGGAAACCAGGTCAATATTAAAACCACAGTATCTTGTCAACCGCTCAACATTTTTGGCTGAAATTTTGCATGCAATTTTTTTTTATAGTTAGGAATAATGTGTCAAAATATAAAACAAAAAGAAGACACATGGTTCAATGGACTGGGTGATTTGATGTGGAATTATCCAAAAGGGAGTTATAGATAAAATCTAAAATTGTTATATATATATCATATTATATTGTTTTAAAAAATTCCTTTAACTCTACCCTGTCATTTTTAAAATGGCATTATGGAAACCTAGCCAAGTATGAAAGCACAAGTAACACACACACACACACACAAAAAAAAAAAAAAAAACTGAAGAATACATCTTTGCCATCATTATAACAATGATGGCAGAGATGATGAAGCATGTTAATCATAAATATGAAAAAGTGCATTAGTGATGAAAAATTATAAGATCCTAATATTTTCATTCAGAAAAAATACACATCACATTTTAATTTATCAAATTAATTTAAAATAAAAACAATGAACTTTACAACATTTTTTTAATGATTTTTACAACCATAATATATTAAAACACAATAAAAACTATAAAACAATTCAAAAACTTTAAAAAAAAATTATTTTCACTCAGTTAAAAAAGAAATAAGTAAAAAATTTTATTAAGAAAAAACAAACATACTAAATTCAAAAATAAAAACAGACAAACAATATACAATTATAAAGCTATTAAATTTTAAAATGCTAGCCAAAAACCTCTGTAACATTAATACCTTGAAAACTAGTTGCATTATTAATTGCTTTGCTATTTAAAAGTCGGAACTGAATTGCAGAGAATACTGCAATAATAGATAAAATGAATGCCATTACAGATTGCCATGGTCTATTACCAGGCTTCTGTTCATTTAAGAACTGCATTAACTTATCCCAATTTTGTTCCTGGTGAGAATTTCTCATTCTGCTTATCTGGCGAACTAACCGATTCCACAGATAATCAACACTGACATTACCAATAACAAGTATAGGCAAAATAAAACAAGAAAAAAGAAAAACCAATCGCTCATATCTGTAAAGAGGCATTTTTTCTGTTGCAACAATCCACACATGAATTTCAAGGAGAGTTGAGATTATAGCAAAAACAACATTCATTGACATCCAGCCAGATGTAAACTCACGAAACACATGAAATGTATCAAACGTAGCAGCAAGCCTCAAGCGACACAAATCAACATTAGATATATAAAATGTGGTAAACTTACAGACTAATCGAACTTCTTTTTCGAAGCTTTTTCGCAGTAAGTAAGCTAGGTAACTAATTCCACCAAAGTTGAAAATGCCGACAACAATTGTAAAATACTCCATTGGAGTAAAATAATTAAAATCCCAGTCATATGCGTATAAATCTTGTGTGACTCTGCTGCATTGAATTGCTATAAAGAATACGCTTCCAAAAAACAGTCCATATCCAGCCATTCGAGTTTTTCGCATGTTTATCCAACGCAAGCGTTGAACAATGAATACAGGACTTATTGCTGATGCCCAAACTCCTGGTGCAAATTCATGGAAAGTTGTAAAAAAGTTGCACACTATAGCAATAAAAGTAGGGATAGTCAACAATACTTTTAAGCATATTGATGAAAACAACTCAACTATATCACTAGAACTTCTTTTAAAATTAATAAGGTCGATGACAATTAAAGTTAAAATAGATGTTATAATCAGAAGCAACCAGATGATTGAAAGTAAAAAACTTCCGCGATGGTTTAATCGTTTTGCACCAATGATTTCGTCAGTTATAAAGTTAATGTGGCCTAAAAAGTAAATAAGCAATTAATATATAAAGAAAAGTACATACATATGCAAATATTATGTATTTAATTTATTATGTAACAATATGGCAGTTACTTGAGGTAATACTTTTAAACTTTTGCTAATTCTTTGGTTTGAAAATTATAATTTATTTTTGAATTAACATTTTAACAAGTTTAAATTGTTTTAATAACCAATTTCAAAATGTTATTCTAACAAGTATTAAGTTCAAAATGCCCATTTTTTCTTTAAATGAAAGTAATAATTCTGATTGTTAATTAGTGTGAAATTTAATTTAATTAACTTAATGTTAATATATGATATTAATCATGATAATAGATAAACACCACTAAAGATTTGTTTTTCAACATATATACAACAGTATGTTCAAAGTTTGTGTTTTAAAGTTACCAAGATCCCAAAGTAAAAATCCCAAAAGATTTCTAGGGATGAAAGAGGTTAACAAAAATAATTAAAAAAGAGGCAGATTTTTCTTTTTGACTTATTTTACCCATAAAGATATATATATTTATATATAAATATATATATATATATATATATATATATATATATATATATATATATATATATATATATATATATATATATATATATATATATATATATATATATATATATATATGTATATATATATATATATAATCAAATAACTATTTCACAAAAAATGTATTTTTGTTATTAAATGAAAATTTAAATAAAATTTTTTTGTATTGCTCTAAAAACTTGTGTAAATAAACATTCCTGTGCTTGCATGATGATAAAAAAAATTTATTATAAATATTTTATGGGTTTCTTTTAGGTTTCATTTAATAACTTTGCATTTAATAACAAAACAAATTTATTTTTCTATTACTATATATTTTGATAAAAAAGCCTAATAAAACTAGTTTTTTTTGTTTTTAATTTTATCTGAATTTTTTTTATTTCTAAATAGCACTTATATCTAACATAATTGTCATTCAAACTTTTGTAACAAACTTTTTTACATATTTATCAAAGCTTTTTTATAAAATTTCTTTTATCTTACTGCTTATAGAATAATTTAAAAGTTAAAAAATTACAAAGTCACTTGAGGGAAATTGCTTTAGGTATGGGGGTCTAAAATGAACTTTTTTGGATTTTGTGTAGTTCAAACACTTTTCCTTAATTTTTTATGCTGATTTTGAATTACTTAGTACTTTTATCATCATAAATATTTGGCCTTCTACTTTAATTTCAATAAAAATGATTATTTTGACAAAACAATCAGTTGTTAAATTAAATGAAATCATTATTATTATCAAAGTAGAATCTGTGGTATATATTTTTCTTGTCGTTTTATCAATAAAATATGTAATCATTATGTGTAGTTATAAATACAACAAAAAATTCATTAAACTTGAAATTACTCCATATAAGCAACAATTTGTAACAATGTAATTGTTATTTTGTAAAAATGCAAAATAACTTTATCGCAACCATGGTACAGTGATTTGAGTTCTTTCTCAGAATCATAAGGTCTGAGGCTCAATGTTGGCTCTGACCAGAGAAGCAACATTGGTAAGAATGCGTAAACTTAATAGTTAAACAATGCTTTGTGATAAAACACTTAATTCTTCTTGGAGCACCTTAACAACTAAAAAATAAAGTCATCGTAGACGATTGTGGATTGTTGTGGGGACTTTAAGTAGAACTTGAAGAACTTAGTCCTCACTTAGTAGAACTAAGTGAGGACTTTAAGTGGAAAATTGAAATTTTTAGCTTATTTTTCTGTAACTTATTCTTCATAAGTCGTTTTTATATACTTTTATCATAATTATGACTTTAAATTAAGTGGATCCATGCTGCATAAATTAACTATTTTTTGATTATTACTAAAATAAACATCCCATTTATCAACCGTTTTTGATATTTAACATATCTTTTTGTTTTTCAATATATTTATTAACATCTGATTTGCAAGTAAATGGGCTTCCTTGTAATTTCAAACAAGGTAAGATATAATATCTCTTGGATGCCTAATGTAAAGCTTATAGACCTTTGTTTTGCTAACCCGCACTGTCTCAGTTGTTTCTGTCACTGGTTCCAACAGTATTTTATATTTTCAAATTTTTTCTCAATCAGATACATTTCCCAAAATATTTCTGAATTACCTAAATCTTGATTTCACAACTGTTTGTGAAATCTAGATTTAGGTAATATATTTAATATTTAAGTACAGTACCACAAGGAGTTTTTGTAATCAACGGTATTTCTGAAGCTGAATGCAATAATTGCCAAACTGATGCTTAAATTTAATGTTATTTGTATTTGTTTTACAAATTGCGAAAACCTGATTATGCATCATATCTTATGCATCAATTATTCCATTATTGTATCCTTATTCCAAACCTATAATACATTCTAATTTTCTGTTTAAGAAATATAGCTAAAATTTGCTAAACTATTTGCTAGAATGATACAATCATCCAAGTTTTTTGATGCGTATACACAAATTGCTTCTTCGACTACTGAGCAGTCGATCTTATTTAATGAAAATTTCTGAAATATAATTTATTGTTGACTTTATTTAAGGCAAGTATAAAAACAACCCTGAGTAAAGGCAATTTTGTATGATAAAATTAATCTATTACTGGGTGATTTCTAAAGAAGTTTATTTAGTTTACACTAAATAAAATTGCAAAAACATATTTTAACTTGTTTTCTTTTTTTTTTTTTTAATTTCTAAAATTTAAAAGTCAATTTATTGCTTTCTGAAATTGCTCTGGATTTTAAAACAATTAAGCACTATTCCAATAACTTAAATCATTTTCTGACTTTAACAACTAACATTTTTTATAATATTATGCCAACAATTTTACTATAAAATAATTTTATCTAAAACTTTTACAAATTATCATGTATGTTATAAGTTATCATAAATTATTATATATTATTATAAACTATAATATAAAATTTTTGCAAAATTAGAAAAATAAACAAGATAATCATTACCATCATGATCCCAAAGAAAACTTTCACAAACTTCACAGTGGTACATTTTAAACGAACCAGATGATGTGAAATCTTCATGACCAATCCCTTTGCATTTTGAACATCTACGAACAGTCACAAAAGGTCCTAGTAATAAAAAATTACAATATTTATATCTTAATTGTTAGTACATAAACTTTTCATATTTTTATTTTGTAGATCAAGTATGTAGTACACTAATATAATATATGTATAAATAAATATATATGTATACATAAAGTATAGGCCATTAATAACAATCTGGCTTTTTTTTTTTTATTTTGACATTCAAATTTTATTGATAATTATTGTTTGACTCATTTCAAATATAAGTGGTGTTAAGGGTTCGTCCATAAAGTACGTATGCTTTTTTTCTACCAATTCCCCCCCCCCCCCCCCCACACACACACACATTTTGCCATACGCTTTTTAGAGTACCCTCTAGCTCCCTAAAAGTAGTTTTGCTTTTAACCTACCAACCCAACATTTTATAATATTTTTTTAAATTTAGTGTCTCCATACTTTTATAATTAAACTACTGCCCCCTTACCTCAGAAACGCCATTTGGAGACCTCCTCTTCTTCTCCGAGCGTACGTACTTTATGGACAATCCCTAATGAGAATTGTATTCTTTTTTTTAAATGGATAAAAAAATTTTTTTTTTTTTTTTAACAAAATTATTAACTGATGCACTAATTATCTTCTCTTTTTTTTTGACATACTTCATCATCAAAAATAATTATAATGGCTAAAATTAACAATTCACAATATTATTTCAAACTTCCTTCAAACTTTCAACTTCAACAGAAGGCTTAATTTTCAAAGTTATTGTATATGTTGGATAATTATTTAATGTCTTCTATTGACATTTTATGAAAAGATACAAGAATTATCTCTCAACAAGCAGACTTGGCCAGGAAGGCGTGCGATTACAGGTGATAATATGAACATGCAAAAACTATTTGATTTTACTTAACTTGACCACGGCTGTTAATTTGTTTTGAAAGTTTGTATACATTTTAAAAAAGCACTAAAAAAATAAACTTAACTATAAAGAAACTTTAAGAAAAAATTATCATAAAAGAAGCAAATAAATCTTCGTAAAAAAAATAACAAAAAACAAAATTAAATCAACTTAACTAAAACTAAAATAACAGAAATAAAATTAAAACTTAACTAAAATAAATAATAAACCATAATAACAAGATTATCTAAATTACATTTGGAATAAATAACTTTACTAACGTTTTTATAATATAATATTATGTGAAACCCTTTTTAAACAGTTGTAACAACTTACAACTGACGATTGTTTAATAAACGTGCACATTTAAAGTGTAAAAAAAGATTCTTTACAATTCTTTGCACAAAAGAAAAAATAATTAAATCGTTTATATAAAAAATTGATATAATTTATTTTATTTAAAATTTGTTAAAAACCGTGGTTAAATCATCAAAACAAAGTATTATTTGTGTGGTCATATAAAGACTTGAAATTGTACGCCTTCCTGACTAAGCCTGAACAAGATAATGTTTCACGACATATTGCTTAGATTTGCAAGCATTGGTTTGAAGGAATTGACATTAAAATCATGTCTAAGCCTGCCAATAGACCAGATTTCAATTTTTTCAACTTAAAAACATTTTAGGTCAACATCAGGTCATAATTTAGAAACATGATTTGACAAATCAACATACATACACACATATATATATATATATATATATATATATATATATATATATATATATATATATATATATATATATATATATATATATATATATGTATGTATATATATATATATATATATATATATATATATATATATATATATATATATATATATATATATATATATATATATATATATATATATATATATATATATATATATATATATATGACACACACACATATTGAAAAGCATTAGTTTATTAGGCTTATCTTGCTGTGAATAAATTATAATTATATTGTGATATTAAAGTATTTGCCCAATAAATTTGCAATTATATAAAAAAATATAAAATAATATAATAATATAATAAATATTACATCTTTTATATGAAATAAATGAATTACAAATTTTTCAAAACCAAACAAAAATATCAAAGCAAGAAAACTTAAAAAACAAGTAAACATTAAAGCTCAACATTAATTTTAGAAATATTTAATAATGAAATTAATTAAATAACTTATTTTAAATATATATACATATCTACTATAGCATATTTATATGCACAATTGCTCACTTTTTTTGCTAGCCTTATTTAAGTGAGTGTTTTTAGAAAACAATGAGGGAAAACAAAGAATAATGAATGAAAAGGTTGCTGACCCATAGCAAACCCTCAGTCAATGTAGCAGCATTCCACTGCGAGTCAGGCTATTTGTCATTCAATGTATGTACTGAAGCCCCCGGCAGCAGGCTATTTGACGTTAGGTAAGTATGACATCATCATGCTCACCTAACTCAGCAGTATAAGATATATATTCAAATGTATTTTTAACAATACATTTTGCATAAACAGTATGCAATTTTATTAAAATCAAAATTTAAATAAAAAAAAAAGCATTCTACTGTTTTGATTTTAATAAAATTGAGATTTATTCGTTAATTATAATAATTATAAAATATTTACCATTATGATACAATCCAAGAGATTTAAGATAAATCCAGAGTAAGTATGGCCATTGCTTTTTTTCATTAGTATTGTTTACTTGAGCTTTAACAATATCTTCAGGTAATGCATTGACATCATGGTGAAGCATACTCATTCTATTTTATTAATTCTCTATTTTTATCTATAATATATTTGATAATTTATATAATTTATCAAATATATTATAGATTAAAATTAACAAATGTAATATGTAAATAATTGTAAATACAATTCCACATGCCTCAATGTTTTGCTTTTATTGAGGAAATGTAGTTTCATAATATCTATTTGAACAAAAAAAATTTTAAAATTTATATTCTTTTGGTAAAGAAATGTTTTTTAGGATAAAATTTATTTATTTTTTACTATGTATTTTATGAGTTATTGCAAAAATAAGAGCGTTTTGGCATGACAAATTGATGACCCGTGTATTTTGAGTTATATCTGTAAAAATATTTAAAAAAATTATAAAAAGTGTTTATAATACAGTTAGGTTATTGCAATATTATAAAAAGGTTTATCAATTATTTTTAAAATGTAAATACAGTAAACTTTTGTTTTTTCGATTAAAAACGCATTAAAGAGTAGCTTGGAATTGCTGTATAGATGTTATAGATTTATTATTATATATTATTAAATTTATTATTATATATTATTAAATTTATTATTATATATTATTAAATATATTATTATATATTATTAAATATATTTTAGATTTTTATGAAATGTATATTTTATATTAGTTATACAATGCAATATGTATTGTAATGTAAATATATACTTCTCTCAATTTATTCATTGAATAGATAAGTATAACACACAAAAAATACTTTATAAAATTCATATTATGCACATTAAAAAGTAAATATTTTGTTATGTACATGTTATGTACATAGTAAAGTAAATATCTGGTGCATATAAACTAAAAGAAAACACTATCATGAACATGAAAAAGTTGTAAAGGAAAGAAATCAGAATACATTTATTATAAAAAATGTGCAATAATGTCAAGAAACAAAAAACTAGAGAAATCTAAAAAGCTATCAGAGATAACAATTTGTTATAAATTATGAACAAATTTGCATAAATTATAATAAATTTGCAGAACAAATTTATTATAATTTATGCAAAATTAGCCATGAACCTACATGGTGTACATTAGTTTGTAGAAACCTGATGTTTGCCAAATCTGCTTCAAGATAAAAAGCAACCAGTTGCTATATGTATATTTGTGTTTTGCCTAAACCTCTAACAAATGTCTGCTTACACATATGATATTTAATGTATAATTGGGTTCTGCAAGAACCAAGTTTTTAGGCAAAGGCTAGGAGAAATAAATCCTGGCTTAAAATACTTCTGCTTTGGGGCTCTTGATTGAGTAAAGACTAGAGATTGTCTCAATAAAAATACTCATCTTAGACAGGTGTTAACTGCATCCAGCTACTTTCTTGTAGAAGGTCCCCTAGGCAAAGACTTTATGGGTAAGCAGAATAATTCTGTTGAACAGCCTTGTACCCCTTCTTCATCTATTAGGCTGGCATAGATGTAACCTGTTACATCTATGCCAGCCGTTTGTTTTTTGCTAAGGTTGATGAGTGCTGAATCTTCTTGACTCTACTCATAGATTTTTGCTTGTGCCTCTTTGATAGTGACTATGCAACTCTTCCTGTTATTTCTTAATGAGGGTTACAGCTCTAAAACTTTTAATGATTCTGAGGACAGCTGGTAGTAAATTTTACCAATCTGTTTACCAGCTCTTAGAGAGGCTGATTTTTTCAACAGCTAAAAAATATCATGGTATTGTAAATAAAAAGTATTTACAATACCATGTAGTACAAGGATGGTGTCCTTGTAATTATGTTACAGCCACATAAGGAGCTCTAAGTTACAAATTATGACCAAAATACACAAAAAAATTAAACATAAAAAACCATTACTACCACCTGGTCATTTCAACATTTTAGTTATAAATATTCCCGGTTAGTGATTTTTTTGTTATTATTCAAACTTTCAAGATTTGTCAGACTTACTTGCTCTTTGTGAAACTAATTTAGATTTGGCTGTTTCTACTTCAGATTTCAGCGTTGATGGCTATTATTCTTTGATTTGTAAAAAATTCTAATAGCCACATGCTTGGTCATACTTACATATCAATTCATCTATTTGTCATATCATTTTTATCCTGAAGTTGATTAGAATACTTTTTGTAATTTACTTCATGACGGTCTTTGGGTGGATGTCTTCTGCCTTTTTGCTGATAAATGCACCTCTTATATACCCTCCTGGATCCAGACAGGTATGGAAGTTTTTATTCCTTCGTATCAGTTTTATGTTAAGCCTCATTCCAATGCATTATTTTCACCTTCTTTTGCAAGTTGTTTACAAGAACTTGAAGAAATTTTTCAATAAAAAAAATTTCGGTTAAAGAACCTGCTTCAGACACTAATTAAAGTGTAATAAACAACTCATGAAAACTTGAACTCTCATTTTGCAGATTTTTAATCAAAGTAATCATATTGTTTAATTATTACTTTTACAACAGTAATGAGCATTAATGGTAATAAACAAGCCTGGTGTCATACTGTACATATTGGAAGAAAACATTTATAAAATAGAATTTTATAATCAAATTGAATTTAAAATTAAACAAAATTTGAAAAGATTATAATTTTTGAAAATGTTTTTGTAAAGAAAATCTTTATTTTATTAATTCTCTTGTCTAGCTTTCTATTCACATTTGAATAAAACTTGGTTGATATAATCTAATATATAGAAAAATAAAAATAATAGAACTAAAAAACTTGAATAGAACTTAAAAAAAAATATTTTTGAAAAATAAAAACATTTTTAAAAAGTTCATCATAAGTAATAAGAAGAATAAAAAAAGCAAATAAAACAGTAAAATAAAAAGCAACCAAATAAAACAGTAAAACCAAAAAAGTAAAATATTTCAAGTGAAAAAAACTTGCTAACTAAAATTTTGTGGTAAACTAACTATGGTTTTATGGTGAACTAATTAACTTAGTGGTAAACTAACTGATTAACTATGGTTTTATGGTGAACTAAAATTTTTTGTGCGCGTGTTGGCAAATTTGTTAATAAAACAGATTTGATACATTTATTGTTTACACAGATTTGTGTTGAAGTATGTTTTTAGATCAGCAGCAGACATCATAATCATAAATGTTCTAATAGAAACATGTTTGATCTTTGTATGTTATAAAATTTACCATAGATATTTTTATTTTTATTCACTGTACCATAAGGCATGCTATTCACTAAACAATCACTAAAGTTCATTGGTTTTTGTTTTTATCTGGTTTGTGTTTATATTTACAATTGTGTTCTAATATGAATAAGAATAAATATGAAGATTTTAAAAGATCTTTTTTTGTTATGATTTTTTTAAAAATTGTATAAATCCTAAAGTCCTCTCTCTGACACTTTGACTCTCTGTCAGTATCAGATAGTTATTTGTATTGCATCTCAGTTGCACTGGTGTCATAATTTTTAAGGGTAATGCTGATTCTCATTTAATCATTTAATTTAACTTTTGGGTTAAATCTCATTTACAAGGCTCTTTTTCTCATCTCTGTCTTGTATTAAACTGTAATTATTTCTTTAATCTTTTTTACAAAAACATCTCTCTTAAAAATTTTTTATTATTGCAAGAAATCAATGTAAAAAAGTGCTCTCTGATATTAAGCTTCATTATTATCAGTTTACTAAATCTTTTACTAAGTCTTATCTGAGAAGTTAGGTTCTAGAGACTTTTGAAAAATCTAAATAACAACTAATATAATTTTTTTATAAACTAGTATAACTTCTCAATTAAACTTTTCTACAGCTTGTGGTCCAGGCAACATCCCTGTCATAGTCTTATAAAAGTGTTCTCAAAAATTTTCCTAATAAGTGCTCAACTGATTCTTGTTTTCTTGTCTGATGGAAAATGGCAACTTTAGTTTCAATTTTTAAAAACTCTGAAGTACATTCTGACCTTTCTAACTATTGTCTGATCAGTTTTTTCTCTATTATTAGCAAGGTCTTTGAGTCTTCAATCAACAAATTTCTAACATTCTGTCTTGAGTGTTATACCTGACAATCAATATGATTTTCAATCTTTTCATTTATTAACTGCTTAAAATGAAAGATCATGAATTACTGTAAAGCAGCAAGGTAAGGGCTATTTTTCTAGACATATCAAAAGCCTCCAATAAAGTTTGGCATGCTGGTCTTCTTCATAACGTTGTATTGTATGGTATATCTGGGAATATCTGTTTTTGACACTAAATCATTTCTTTCTAACCACAATATTAAAGTCTTTGTTAGAGGCCAACACTCTACTTAATTTCCAGTAACTTTTTGGGTACTGCAATCCTTGGTCCTGTATTTTTTCCTATCTACATGATCTTCCTGACAACCATAAATTGATGTAGTAGTGTTGTAATTTTAGAGCGCTCCCTTCATAAGCAAGAAGTTCAAAGTTCAATCATCCCCACCAAGTCCCTGGTAGTACCATGTTCAACTTGTTTCTCTGCACAGTAGCCTTGTTAGTCAAGGTTTATGTTTTGAAGTTAAAGAGTTGAGAGAAAGTTGTAACCACAATAAAGCAGCATCCTTGACTGTAATGGCCCTCCCGACCTTAAGGAGATAAAAAACATTAAAAAAAAATCTAAAGTGGCTCTATTTGCTGATAACTCAACTTTAAACTCTTATCTTGATAATAAGTCTTAGCTTTTGAACCATTTGGAACAGGCAGCCAAACTTGAATTTGATCTTTCTTCTGTGACAGCTTGCAGTGGCTTGTGAATTTTAATTCCAGCTAAACTCAGTTGTTTAGTGCTAATAATTATCGCAATACTGTTGACATTCCTATATTGATGAAAGGCAACTCTCTCACTGAGTCCTCTACTTTAAATCTTCTTGGATTACCATTCACTACTGACACTATGACTAGTAACAATTCACTGCTGACCTATCATGGAAATCATATATAAAACTATTGCGAAGTTAGCATCTACTAAGACCCCCATTTTTTTACTCCTGATTCCATTCTCTACCTCTACAAATATCTTATTCATCCCAGTATGGAATTCTGTTTTCATATTTGACCTAGTTCTTCTAATGATACTCTTTCCTTTCTGGGCAAGGTCTGTAAACGTATTTAAAATGTAGTTGGACCTGGTCTACCTGCTAAGCTTAAGCCTCTTTCTCATCATCGTAAAATTGCATTTCTTTTTCACTTGTCACTGCTCAACCAAGCTATTATCTCTAGTTCTATCACCAAAATTCATTCTTGTTAACTTGTCATTTGGCAAGGTTGCATCCTTTTACTGTATCTGTCCCTTCACATTCTAAAAACTTTTATTAATCTAGCTTTTATTAATCTAGCTCATCAAGGTTTTGGAACTCTCTCTCTCTCATCATCACATTTTTCTGACTCATATAACTTTTCAAGTTTTCAGTCAACTGTTTCCATGTCAACTGGTTCCTTGACCTTGAACACTATTTTTTTGTTTTTTAGTAACTCCCAATTTAGTCGTGGTTGCTTTGAAACTAGTTGGAAATAAATTAGTTTAAAATAAATAAATATATATATATATATATCACATAATACAATGGTAGTTAATAAAAATAGAAAACAATAGCAATTTAATACTAATAATAAATAATAGTAAAATTACATAAAAAAATAAAAATAATAAACCACAACATAAAACTTTGTAAAACAGTGTAACTATTAAAGGTTACCTTTATTAGTTACACTGTTTTACAAAATTAATTTTCTTATATATATTACAAAATTAAATTTCTTATATATATAAAATCCTTACAAAAATCCTAAAGACTTAATAGGTTTATAAATTTAGGGTTTTAAACAATATTAGTAAAGTTTAAGCTTAATATTGGAGAAGTTTATATACATATTTATATAAAAAAGGTTACATACTTGTAATTTTTATATTTATAGTTTAAAATGAACTAAAAAAACCAAAATAAATTTACTTGATTTAGAATTTTTTTAAATAACTTTATCATAAACTTGATTATATTGTTAAACATGTTGGACAACATAATCATCATATTCGATTTGCACCACGCAATGCTAAGTAACCCTGGACAACATCTGGTGTGAGTCTTCTGATCTTTTTATACTCTTCTACGCTTGCATAATACAATCCAGTATGTGGATCAGTATAAACTGCCTATCAAGATAAACAAAATTACAGAGTACTTACTGGGTACCGTATCACAGAATCTTTTTCATCTAAAAAAATATCAATCTGGCTTTCAAATTTTATACAACCTTTTTTATTAAAAACATTGTGAAAAAATTATAGCTGCAAAATTTTATAATAAAAGACCATTTTTCATTTTCCTTTAAAAATGTTCCTTGTTTGTATATAAAATTGAAGTAGTTGATTTTTATTTAAAACTGTTATAATTTCTGAAATCTTAATAAAGTTCTGGTTCTTTGAGACCAATGTTGATAAACAATTGGAGAGTAAAAATTTCAGTGATATATTGGACTCAGGGAATGATTAAGAGCCATTGGGGAAAAACTTTCTCAAAAACTAAATAAAACCTGTTTTTAGTTACTTAAACCAAAGTTCACCTATTTTTTATATAGAAAAATCTGAGAACTACCACAGTTTGAGGATCATCTCTTAGAATGATTATGCTGAATTGTACCCTCATTAAAGAAACCAAAAAAAGTTGCAAAGCCACTACCAAGGAGATACAAGCAAAAACTTATTGATAATAGCCTATTAGACAAAAAAGGGGTGCAAGACTAGTCAAAAAAAGATTTTTCTGCTTTCCCTAAAACCTTTGTCTAGGAGGCTTTCTACAAGACAGGAGCTGGATGCAGTTAGCATCTTCCCTAGATGAATCACTTAATTAAGACATTATTTAGTTTTTACTAAGAACTAAAGCAGAGAGAGATTAGTAGGAGTAGTAGCAGAGGGGGAGTATTAGGAGTATTAGCAGAGGGGGAGTAGTAGGAGTAGTAGCAGAGGGGGAGTATTAAGAGTATTAGCAGAGGGGAGTAGTAGCAGAGATGAGTAGTAGGAGTAGTAGCAGAGGGGGAGTAGTAGGAGTAGTAGCAGAGGGGAGTAGTTGGAGTAGTAGTAGGGTACTACTAAGGGTATTAAAGTTAAAAAAAGCAATAAATATTTATTTCTTAATGTAATTTTTGATATCAGTATATGGTTTCTCAAAGATGCTAGATTTACTATTTTTTAAAGAAGTATTAAACAATTAATATTTAATACATAGGGTATTAAATATTTACTCAATTAAGATTTCTCATTTTGTTACCTTGACCTTACTGGAAATCTAAACATAAATCTAAAAGTTTAAAATAAAATTATTTCCTTTCATAGATATGATCTTGTGGTTGTAGCCTGTAAAAGTTAAAATAAATTTTTAATGATAAACAAAAATTGAAAAATGAAAATAGAACATTTTTGAATATTTTTTTCAAAAGCTAAAAAAGCAAAAAAACTGCAACTATTTTTAAAGTATTTTAGATTTTTTTGGAAAAATTAAAAATAAAAATAAAAAAATTCTTACACTTGAGTTTTTTTTAATTTTTATAGATGTTAAAAAAAAGGTGTCTTAATAATTCCCTATAAAAAATTGTTTTTTTTATAGAGAATTTTTAAGACACCTCCCCCCCCCCCCCCCCTCTTCATCTCTCTTCAAAAAAAATTGATTCAAAAGTTGGTCAACCTTTTTCTAAAAACTGCTAAACATATCTTAAAATTTTAAAAATATTAGCCAGCTTTATTAAAAATCAGTCTCTTTTTTTTAATTAAAAATAATAATAATCATACTATAATATAAACTTTTAATAGCAATCAACATTTTACCCATTATGTGTATATTTTACCCATTATGTGTATATTTTGCAAAAATATAAACATAAAATATAAAAAATTATCAAAGAAAGTAGATAGAAACTAAGCAAGTAAACCAAACATTAATAAAAAACTTTGTCAGCATACTTTTTTTACAACAAAATTTATATGCCCTTTCTAAAACTAAATTAATAAAAATAATATACAAGATAATTATTACTCGATTATTCATAAATATATGGATGAAAAATTAACTTTGGATTTCAAAATGCATACTTCCTATTTCTTTTTAAATTATCCAGACTTATTTAGAGACAAAATTACCCAGACTTATTTAAAGACAAAATTACCCAGACTTATTTAAAGACAAAATTACCCAGACTTATTTAAAGACAAAATTACCCAGACTTTATTAGAGACAAAATTTTATCTTTTAACCTGTGCCGACAGAACTCTAAATTTTTAAAATTGCTGTTTTTAACATTTTCAAATTTTTTTAACAAAAAAAAATTTTTTTATCCAAAAAATAATTAGTTCAATCAGTTCCCAATAATTGTCATGTACAATAGCCTTTTGTAGTTCTTGATTATAAAATGTCAACAACTTTTCTATTGTTGTGTGACAAAAATGTTGTGTGGCGATGTATGTTTTAATAGTAGCAGGGTTAATAGTTGTTTCTAAACTTTTTGAACATTGGGCTATGTGTGACTTAGTGGATTTTTGCTTCAAACACATATTTTGAAATCAGTTTGTAAACATGGTGGCAACCAAAGAGTAGTAGTTTCTTGTCTTTTTTTTGTTCCAAAAGTACACAAACTCCTTTCAATCGCCCTGTATTATAACCAGTTGTGTCACAACACATTATTTATACTTTGTTATCAAGGTTCCAGTCAAAATGTTCATTCAACACAGCTTTAGTTTGATCCTGGCTAAAAAAGCTTTCCATATTGGGTACAGCCAGAAGTGGTTTTATTTCTCCAAATGAAATTAGAATTGGCAGGCGTTTTTCATTAGACTTTTGATGTTCAATTCAGGTAATAATTTTTCATCCCAGTAAACAGTCACTATTACAGGTATATTATTCTGAAAATCTGATTTTTTAGATTTTGCTTTAACTTCCCTACTATTTGTGCAAAAGTGTTTGTTAAAAAAAAGTTTTTGTTAAAAAAAAACAAAAAATTAAAAAAAAATAAGAAACACTCTAATATTTATATTTACAATTGAAAATAATAATTTTAATAACTTGTAGAAAAATAAAGTTCATAAATACTCCAAAATGGAAATCTTAGCCTGTAATTTCTAGAAACACAACTTTAACTTTAAGTAACTTCTAGAAACTTTAAGTTATAAATTAAATCATAATAAAAATCAATTAACCACCTTTAAAAATGAGACAAATAACTATTAAAATATACATACTAGTTGTCCAGATATGTCAGAATACTTTTTAACAGGTTTCACTGGCGGTGGAGTTTCTATACTTAAATCTAAAATTAAAAAAGAAAAAACTAAAAGTATGAATAAAAATATTTGGAAATTTTTATCAAGTTTTTTAATCCATGTTAAAAAAATAAATTGTTAATTGATATAAATAAAAAGTTTTATTGATATTAACTTGAACTGCAATTTTTTTAGTAATAATTCAATTTCTACGATAAATGCAAAGAAAAAAGTTTTTAATAAAAAAGAAAATCTAAAAAAAATGCAATTTAAAAAAAAAAATTAGCAGTTATTAAAATTTTTATTTTATTTTATACACAATTTTTTTTTTGTTTTTTTTTTTAATTTTTATTTAATTTATTTATTTTATTATTTGCATAATAAATAAAATCCTAACCATCATATTTTTAACCATCATAATTTTTTTTGCATAAAGTATTCTTTATCCCATCATTTGATTATGTGTCATATAAAGACTCAGTAGCAAAAATATTTTCTAATAAAATTAGTATTTAGAACTTGTTCAACACATTTTAGAGTTCAAAAAACATGGTTTTACCATTTTTTTATTGACTGCCTAACCAAATACATATATTACAATTTATTTATATAAATGCATGTGTTTAGTTTTTATATCATGAGACCTAAACAAGAAGACATCTTGGTTGTAAACATTACTAAAACTTGTAATTTTAGTAAAATTTTCCTTTTTAGCATGATATTTTGAATAGGTGTTGAAAGTTTAAAAGTTAAAAAAAGGTACACCCACAAGTTTTCTTGTTTTTAGATAACATTTATTTTGTTACAAATTTAATACTCTTTCTTTATATATATTTTGTTTTGTAAAAAAGTTACACATTTTTAAGAAAATAATATCAAAACAAGAAGTTAACCGAAAACAAATTTACTAAATTTATTTTAGGCATAGATCTTATGGAAAGAAGTTACATTTAAATTTTAAAGAAGAAATTCCAAGAAATTCATGGATGATGAGTCTAATTTTAATTGGGCCCATAGCACAATCAATGGCAAAATATTTTTTACTCAACAAATGTTGGACAAATTCCTTTACAAGTAAAATGTAAAAAAATGACAAAATTTATTAAAAAATGCTTGTATAATGCATTTTTGATAAAGGGGTGTCAAAACCGCACTTTGCCCCTTTGCAGTTAACCAAAATCTTTATTTAGAACATTGCATCGAGAAACAATTATTCCTTTTCATTAAAGAATATCATAATGATAACCAATACTTATTTTGGCTTGACCTGACTTTATCGCATTATGGGAAAACAAGGATAATGTCATTCTTTTAAAAAAATTATGTAGCCTTACTGAATAAATCGCCAAACATACAATAATGTCATCCAATTGGGGATTTTGGAGTATTTTAAAAGGAATGGTCAATGCAAAGAACTTACAGGCAAAAAAACTAAAACAACTTCGTATTAGAATAAATTCAAGCCTCTGGAAAGTCAACAAGAACATTGTAAAAGATCAAATCTACCTTTAAATGATCAACTTAAATTTTTTTATATTTCCAATTAGGATGCCGTGCCAACCTTAAAGATCAAACAGGACTAATTTTCTACTTGCTTAGTGCGCAGAGGTACAACAGAGGTAAATTCAACAAAAGGAACAACATTAGTACCAGTGTCACAAATGCAACTTTTAGTAATAAGAATTTGTCAGTCTTTAAATGCTGATATTGAAGCAAGCCCATTGAATTCAAAAGCCCCAAAGACAAAGAGAGCAAGCAAAACTGTGGATACTGTGACTCTTTAGGTAGCTCTTTCTCTTGATGAAGAAACATTTTTGAAAAAAAGGTTGCATATAACTTTAAAAACAACACATTCAAATCATGCAGTCATTTAGTGGAACAAAAGGTGATGCTTGCACTCCTTTGGAAGCAGAGCTTGGTCAAGAGTTAATCAATTTAGCCTGGTGTCACTAAAAAAAAAAATCTCAAACAAATTATAATGCAAAAGTCTTTAGATAATTAGTTTTCAAACTGTGATCTATGACACTAGCACTGCTGTGTGCTTTATATGAATATCCAAACACTGAGATTGCTAAGGTATCTTTATAAATGTGTATAAGACATTAACTTGATTGTCGCTTTGACCTTTTAAGTCTTTTTTTATCACAAAAATAATTTGAAAATTATAAGGAAATTAATCAAAAATTAAATTAAAAAAAAAACTGAATAAAACATCAATTTAAATATAACAAAAAACAAATAAAAACTGAATAAAAGGAAAATATATTTTGATTAACAACTTACATGATGGCGCATCTGGAGGTAGTTGAAGTCTTTCTGCTTGAGCAACTTGACGAACACTTTTCCAAGTCTTTTTCTTTGTTAACTTAGCAATATTTAAAAGTAATAATGTTAAGATTTGAAAAATTCTTAAACCTTTAATTAATAATTAAATCGTTTTACACACACACACACATATATATATATATATATATATATATATATATATATATATATATATATATATATATATATATATATATATATATATATATATATATATATATATATATATATATACATACATACATAACAAAAAAAAAGATAAAGTGAACAAAAAACATTAAATGATTGAATGATAAACCTGGAAATTTGGATTTTTAAAAGGTAACTGGTCTTTAGTTTGTTTGATCTTCTTTAAAGGTAAATCTTTTGTCTCCTTGAAATACAAAACTTATAAAAACAAACAATTGTAAATAATACATATGCACACAAATATATTTACATACATTCCTATATAATAAATATATACATATATACATACATACATATATAAATACATACATACATACATACATTCATACATACAAAAAAACATATAATTAAAATACATATATGCATACATATATTATACATATATGAATGCACTAACAAAACATATTATTAAAAAACCTTTCGTATATACATAACATTCATATATACATTCAATATACATTCATACATATATATACATTCATATATACATTCAATATACAAAACATTCATAAATGCATAAATAAATATATACATATATACATACATACATATATAAATACATACATACATACATACATACATACATACATACATACATACATACATACATACATACATACATACATACATACATACATACATACATACAACAAAACATATTATTAAAATACATATATGCATACATATATTATACATATATGAATGCACTAACAAAACATATTATTAAAAAACCTTTCATTGGCATTACTTTAGCCCTAGTAATTTTCCAAATAAAATTTAGTGGTGGAAGACATTGTTCAATCCATTAAAATAATTATTTACTTTCTTGCTTACAATTTTGGTGCAAAATGTTCAACTTTTTGTGTCAATAACATTTTTCTTCTCGAAGAGCAAGAGAAGAATTTAAAAAAGGTGTTTGCACTCTTACAAGATAAATTTATCTTATAAGTAGATGCAATAATAAAGGTTTTAAAATAGCTTTTTTTTGATTTTGTAATAATTATCATTGTGCACTTAGCTGTGCATATATGTGGTATATATAAGTACACTAGGTAATCTGGAAATTTAAAGATATTTACTATGACAACAGTATTTTTGTTTTATTCCCCTTCTTTTTATAAAAAAATCTGAATTACTAGAGGCAATTACTTAAAGTGTACCAGATATATACATATATATATATATATATATATATATATATATATATATATATATATATATATATATATATATATATATATATATATATATATATATATATATATATATACATATATATATATATATATATATATATATATATATATATATATATATATATATATATACATATATATACATATATATATATATATATATATATATATATATATATATATATATATATATATATATATATATATATATATATATATATATATATATATATTTAAACGGAAGTGCTCATCTTATTTAGTGGAATGCCTTTTGTTCCACTAAATAATATGGGCAAGAAAGAGGGTAAAAAAAAAAGCAAAAACGTTATGAAAACACATACTAAATTCCAAAACACTATTTTTTAATTATTTAAAAATACTTTTAAGCAAAAAAGTTATTTAAAAAAATCATTTTTTCATACCATAGTATGGTTTTAAAGATGTGAGGGTTGTAAAAACTTGTTTTGACAGTCCTGTTGTATAGCGTTAAAAATCATATCCTATATCCATAATTGAGAACTTTGATGTTATATTGCTTTTTTTTTAACATAATATACATGGTTGTTAATAATCATTTAGACTTTTTTTCTTACATCTTTGATTGCGTTGTTTCATTTGTTGTTTTTAAGCACTGGGTTTTTCGTTACGAGTGTTACAGTTACGACCCTCATGACAAAAAAAACAATGTTCTGTATTTTTATATTTAATAAAAATGAACCGCCACTCTCGCGAAATCGCCCATATATATATATATATATATATATATATATATATATATATATATATAAAGAGAGAGATCAGCTATTGCTTACTAGTTTTGCATTTTGCTTTTTTGTAGCATACAGACAAAAGAAAAAATCATTAACTTAATAATACAGAGAAAATCAAAGACGGGATGGGGAAGCCTTTGATACATCAACTGAAGGTATGGACTGGTAGTATTTATATAGGATATTTATTATGACAAAAAAATATTAGGGATATTCCAAAAATTACGCAACACTAAATTTATTTAAAAAACAGATATAGAAGATCTTAAGCTCATTTACATGGCAATTTTCATTATACTTAATTATCTATTTTCAATAAACTTAATTATTTATTTTCAATAAACTTAATTATTTATTTTCATTAAACTTAATGCGCTATTTCGATTTTTGATTTAGCTTAAAGCACTGCGAAAGAAAACTTTCGATCTTTTTTGTTTTGTTTATTAGTGAAATTTAGCGCTTTGTAATTTATGGACGATCCCTCATATATGTATATATTCAAACCTCATTTTTCTTTTTTACTTTAGAAGATCCATTTTCATTGTGTGAAAAACTTGTTCTTTTTGTCATTATTACATTGCAACTTCTATTTACTTTCTTTTATTTAAAACAAAAGCTGAAAAAATATCAAATAAATAAAAAATAATAAATAATATAAAACAATATAAATAATAAATAAACAACAATACAGTAAAAATATACAAAATATACTAAAACATAAATTTATAGAATTCTTTTTAACTTGTATATTTTTATTCTCTGTTGTTTTAAATTCAATCGATTCAATTTAAAGTAAAAAAATCAAGTTTAAAATCCAGTAAAAATTGTTGTTGAATGAAAAACCCGTTAAAAAGAATAAAAGTTGTAAAAAGACAAATTCAGCAATATGACCTAGAAATAACAAGAAAAAAATTATTATCAATAATAAAAATTTTATTAGTAAATTCATTAATTATTTATAAAACAATTTAGAAAACTTTTATTCATAAAACATTTTAATAATATAAAATGCTTAACATATAATAAACAAAGTAAAATAATCAATAAAAGATAAAGTTTGTATACTGCAAAATTTGTAGTAAAGGTAAACATTAACATTTAATAAATAACAAACAACTGAAAAACAATCTTAAAAAAAACTGGAAAAATAACTAAAAAATTTTAAATTACAACAACTAAATAATTCAATGTATTTTATTTGCAAAATTTTTTTTAGATTTTTATCTTTCGTTTTTTCTTTTTGCTTTTTCGATCCACTTCATCTTGCAGCCGCTTCTCTCGCGCCTCCCTTCGCACTTTTTCAACTTCCTAAAAATCAGTCATAATGAACAAAAAATATAGTATTATTTAATAATATTTAAAATTTTTTGTTCTATACTATTTAAATTAATTAAATATCATGCGATTTCAAATAATAACAATCACTTTTAAGACAAGTTATGACCATTAGAAGATACTTTTAAATTTTAGAAGATAAAGTTTCAAACTTTGAATTTTTTAATTGTCACCGTTTATGAATTTTTACCACGGGTTATAATTTTCGTAATTTTAATAATAGTTTCCCTGTTACTATGTTGTCTTTTTTTATTTAATTGTCACATTCTTTATTTTAAACCTAAAAATATTTTGATGTTTTTGTTTTTTATATAACTTAATAAAACATTTGCAGTTGTTGTTTTTTTACTTCATTTTTGTGATGAAATGTTGGAGATTTCATTATTGATTTCATCATTGTGATAAGGCTTTCATCATTGCGATGAAATGTTTAAGATTTCATCATTGTGATGAAATGTTTAAGATTTCATCATTGTGATGAAATGTTTAAGATTTCATCATTGTGATGAAATGTTTGAGATTTCAGTGATGATGAAGAACTTTTTTTTGCAATAAAATTTAAATACTTTTTTTTTTTCATAAAATTAATAAAAACTAAAATATACTAAACTTAAAAAAAAAAAATTTTATAATATAGTAGATAATATAATATTTAATAAAATAAAGTAAAGTTTGAAAATTAACAAATTAAGTAAAAATTACCTCAAGTCCTTGCTCTTTTATCACTGACGAAGTTGATGATAATGAATCATGGTATTCAAATAACTGAACATCATTGGAAGTAATTACTTTGCAATCTAATAAGAAAGATTCAGTGTAAAAAAGCAACAGAATAGCTTTAAAGGACAATTATCTATTTCTTCAACAAACAATTTTTTTACATCCAACATATCAAGTTTATCAGAGTTGTTTTTTTGAAAAGATATATTGTATACAATATATTTTAATGAGTAACTCTCACCCACGAGAACCCATTGGGCTTCTTTTTTTGTTTGCAATTACAGTTTTCTGTATATTCTTTTGTCTAGTGTATCATTTCTGTATATCATATAATTGATAGAATTTATTCTAAATTTTTTGCATAGTTAAAACTTCAGCGGTATTCATGTTAAAAATTATTTATCAGTATTAGAGGATGGGAAAATTTTGTCATATGAATTACATTTTTTTTACTATGTTTTAATATAGAAATATTTTTGCTGTACTTATACTTAAATACATGTTTCTATTTTTATTTTGCTTTATCTATAGTCTTTTTCGAAAACTTCTCTTTTCAAATCTTTCTATTTAAATTTTTTTTAGACATTTTAGTTATGGCTATCTTCATAAAACATAAAACTTTGATGAACCAAAACATCTTTTATTTAAAACATTTTTATTTTCAAATCATCCATTTTTTCAGAGAAATCTAGCATTTCATTTTCAAATCATCTATCTTTTCTAAAGAAGTCTTGCTTTTCATCTTTAAATTTCAATCTTCAAATCTCTTTTTTTTACATCTTCAAATTTCAATCTTCAAATCACTTTTTTTTTCATCTTCAAATTTCAATCTTCAAATCACTTTATTTTTTTCATCTTCAAATTTCAATCTTCAAATCTTTTTTAGAGAATTCTTACTTTTTTTAACTTGTTTGTCATTTTTTAAACTATCCTTAATTAAAATTTGTTTTGAAATTTTATTTTGTTGGAGTTTATACCAAATTATAATAAATCATTTTGTGTATGGCTTTTAAACTTTTAATAGGTTGACTTTTCTTAAGGCGACATTAAAAAAATTTATATTTTTTAAACTTTTGCTTATTTTAATATGGAAGTCGATGTTTATAAGTTTTTATAATACATTTTCTGATTTGATTGAGTTAGGTTCTTGATATTCTAGGTATTCAGAAAAAAAACCTTGATAAACAATATGTTATTTTAATCAATGATAAATTTAAAATACAATCTTTTGACAAAATACAGAACATAGACAGAGATGATTTAGCTGTTGATTTAAAATATAAAAAAATAGGGAAAGATTGCTTGTATTAAAATAAAAAATTTTCAAAAGGTATATCAGATTTTTATTTATTTTGAATTTTGATTTAAAACTTAATTAACTTCTAAACATAATGTAGAGTATATAATATCTATAATGTCAAGATAATAGATTTAATTGATTTACTTTTTTCCACTAAGAGTTTCTTTATAAAAGAAACCTGAATAAAAGAATTAAGTGAAGATAAAATGATAAAATTTATTGCAAAGGTAAATAACAAAGAAACATCTTTTGCTATATCAATTATTTCTTCTATCTTCCAAAAATAACATTATTTTGTTAAGTTGCCGGAAAAATTACACTTTAATTTTTCCAGAATTCGAAAACTATTGAGTGACTGAATGAATTGAAAAAATATTTCAAATATTAAAAAATATTAAAATATAAAAATTAAAAATAATATTGACTTTTTGAGGTATTTTTAAAACATCTAATAGGGAATTAAAAAAAAAAAAAAACTTGAAAAAATGATTAAGAATAAAATTTTAACTGGAAGTAAAAAAACTGGAAAAAAGTGGTTATGTTACTTTTGGGAAAACATTGCGATATATCTAGGCATGAGCCTGAAATAATATTTTATACAAGAGAAACCAGCTTTAATAAATTAGCCATTAATAAATTATTTTTTCACTTCTAAGAAAAATTTTTGAATATTTTAAAACATATGTATACAGCTGTTATGAAAATGGGATAAAAATGTAGCCACTCACATTGGTTATTTTTATCATAGTTTTGCCACATTAGTTTCTTTGCTCTTTGCCACAATAATTTCTTTACTCCTCAACCTGTACCTAAGTTCAAAACTTATAGAAAAAAACATTTAGAGTCTTTTAGCATTCTAATGGATTGAACAATGTCTTCCACCCCTTAAATTTTATTTGGAAAATTACTGAGGCCATAGTGAAGCTGAAAAAGTTTTAAAAAAAGTTTTTTTTTTTGGTATAAAAGAAGAAGAGAAATAATGGAGTTTTTTCTATTAAAAATAACTAAAAAAAAAACAATTGTCAAAAACATCTGAAAAAATTAATGGCATCATAATTTAATATTTCTGTGCTTGTTGCAAACTCCACTGACAATAATAAACTACTAGGAAGTGAAATAAAAAATATTGTTATTGATAACTTTGTGACTGTTAAATTTATTACAAAATAAAAAGTCATTCAGAATATTGGACAGCAGAACACAGCAGTTCAGATAGGTCAGTGAAATACACGAAATAGCAAAACCAGAGAAGTTTTAAGTTCATTAAACCAAACAACGTGGAATATTTTGATTTAAATATTGCAGCTTAGTGATCAAATTGCCTGACCTAGTGATACCAAAAGGGGAAAACATTTTTTGGATTGACTTAATGCCTTACTCAAATTTAAATTAAAGTGAAATTAAGTGAATGATTGAATTTTTTATAACTAAAGCTTTTTTACTAATTTGTTTTGCTACTCAAGGTATCATTCAAATTCCTGGTAATTATACTTTAGTTATAACATTCATACATATATACACACAATATATATATGTATGTATGTATATATATATATATATATATATATATATATATATATATATATATATATATATATATATATATATATATATATATATATATGTACGTATGTATATATATATAAATATATAAATATATATATATATATATATATATGTACGTTTGTATATATATATAAATATATATATATATAAATATATATATATATATACATACATATATGTATATATATACTCATATAGTGTCGCTTTAAGAGCATTTTAATGTAAAAAAAGTCTCTTACGACTACAATTTTAATTACCTTGTCTCTTAAGCTGTTTTTGATTGTCATCGAAATGTCAAAGCAATTAATTTATGCGGAAGTACATTAAATTTAATTGTTTTTTAAAAAATTTTTAAAAAACCGCAATTATAACGACTAGAAAGTTTTTTTTAATTAGTGGTGTTTTTGTTATTGATTTAATAAAAAACATTTTTTAAACATGCGTAAATGTTGCTACATCGACTATCTTATAGCCTGACTCGCAACGGAGTGCTGCTACATCGACTGACAAATAGCCTGACTCGCAACGGAGTGCTGCTACATCGACTGACAAATAGCCTGACTCGCAACGGAGTGCTGCTACATCGACTGACAAATAGCCTGACTCGCAAGGGAATGCTGCTACATCGACTGACAAATAGCCTGACTCGCAAGGGAGTGCTGCTACAACGACTGACAAATAGCCTGACTCGCAAGAGAGTGCTGCTACATCGACTGAGGGTTTGGTTTGGCCAGGCAGTCTATCAATTAAAAAAAAAAATTTAATTTTCAAAACTTTTTCTGGTCTGGTTTATTAACGCGCTCTTTAAAACTACAGTTTATGGGAAATATTTTTTGATGCTACGCAAGAGACATGCAAGAGTATATATATATATATATATATATATATATATATATATATATATATATATATATATATATATATATATATATATATATATATATATATATATATATATATATATATATATATATATGTACATACACTCACAATCACACAATATACAATATATATATATATATATATATATATATATATATATATATATATATATATATATATATATATATATATATAATATACAAAATATAAAATAAACCTGATTCTGATTCCATATGTGAATTAATCATAACACTTTTGTAGAGTTCTTTAAGATTAGGTGTATCAATAATTGAAAGATGCTTGCGTTGACTCAAAATCAAAATAAATAAAAAGTATAATAATATAAACTAATTAAAAAAACTGATGATGATGATGATGATGATGATGATGATGATGATGATGATGATGATGATGATGATGATGATGATGATGATGATGATGACGATGATGAAATTAACTACAACTTACATCACAACTCCAAGCATTATTAAAAGATGCTTCATCAAATGGAGTTGTTTCTAGATGTTCTGAAAACAACCAACAAAAAAAAATTACAGTAAATTACTAACAGGTACATTCTTTTAATAACAGACAATTACATTAAATAGTTAAAAATAAAACATAAAAACTGATAAAAAATTATCAAAATTATCAAAATTTTTAAAATCTTTATAATTTTTAAATTTAAATATTTCATGCTTAAATATAAAATTATCTCATTTTGATTCTTTTGAGATTCCAAAACAAATTCTTTCAAAGTATATTTTCAGATCCAGAGCAGGTTAAGAAATAGTTAAAATTTAATTTATCAAAACAACTTTATTTGAGAAATTATTCAACTAGTAAATCATAAAAATAAATGTTTTTGTTTGTGTGAAGTAAGTAAGAACTTATTTTTTATTTTCCAGGATAGCCACAACTATTTATATTTTTAAAACATTAAAAACTAAAAAAAATGGAACTTAATAAGCAAATTAAAGTAACATATTTGATGTCACAAGTGCGTTATTGTTGGTTTAAAAATTTTCACAACAGCAAAAAGATGCTTAAATGAGAAATAATTTCAGTAATGAAATCCCCAGGTGATTTGTATGTCTAACAATGGATTAACCTGTTTCTTTTGGGTATTAGAAAAATTGCAGTCATACAATTCAAGAATTAAATTAGAGGAAATGTTTTTTGCACACAGTTCCTCTTTATCCATGAGAGAGATAATAAAATCAGACCCATGTATGAGAGAGGGAATGTTGGATTTTTACTTAATATTATTTAATAATCCAATTTCAGTAATGATTTTTTCAAAATAATCTCTAAAACTTAACTGATACTGAAATCAAATTAAAAAAAAAAAGATTTTAACATTGTTCTGAGAATAATAGACCTTTTTGCCAAACTGATGAAAACTTAACCATTTTTTGTATGTCTAACAATGGATTAACCTGTTTCTTTTGGGTATTAGAAAAATTGCAGTCATACAATTCAAGAAATATAACTTAAAAAAAAAAACCATTTTTTTGAAACCAAAACATGTTTTAAATAAAGTACAAACATAATAAAAAATATATTAATAAAAAATCACTGAACAAAATGAAGCATTCTATTCTTTCACACTTTGTTTACATTTATATATATATATATATATATATATATATATATATATATATATATATATATATATATATATATATATATATATATATATATATATATATATATATATATATATATATATATATACAAATCAATAAATGAAAAGCAAAACCAAACCAAATGATTCAGAATGCTCTAAACTTTAAAAAAAATAATACATACGTTTAGACACTTGAGAACCTTGCAGTTTATAATCTTGAATTTCTTTGTCTTTCCTTTTTAAAAGTTCTGAAAGTTCTCCTTGCTTTCTGGAAAGTTCTGATACCATCAAAAGAAGTGGAGTGACTAATTGATTACTAATCTAAAATAAATGAACTAATTTAAAAGTAAAATTATCTAGCAGCCTAAACCATCCCAAACTAAATTCCTTACCTATTTATATACTCAAAAAATAATCCGAGATCTAGAACTAATAAAGGAACCTAGGACCTAGGAAGTTTTAAAACTCCTAAACACATTTACAGCATTAAAACTTGGAGTTCGGGTAAAAAAATGTTTTTTTTGTTAAACTATTTACTCCCAACAAGGCTTGTTTAATTCGACTCCCAACAAGGCTTGCATGATTCGTCCCAAAGCTTTTGGGACGAATCATGCAAGATTTTTGTTTGATAGAACAAGAGATAATAGATAATAGCTTGTTTGAGGTGTGAGCACTATAGAATTTGTAGAAAAGAAAAAGACATGCAATCTTATGATGATGGGAGAAAGGCACAAAATTAGCAGCTAGAGGAGGCCCAATTATATTTAAAAGATATTTTCAAACCTACTTTAGAAGAGAAAGAACACCATTAAAATATAACAACAGTATTTCATACAAATACAAAAAAGAGATTTGTAAAATTAGAGAATGGAATCAGGATTTTAGGAATGGTGAGCACAAAAAGTGAAGTAATATCAACAAATGCTAACTTAGTAATGGATTGTACATATGGTTTTTATGAGTGGTCAAAATCAAATGATAAACTGAGATTACATAAATTAGGGGACTCAGTAAGAGTGTTGCCATTCATCAATATAGTAATATTAACAATATTGTGATAATTATTAGTAATAAGTTTTATTTGGGTAAAAAAAAAAAACTCAAAGACCTTTCTAATTATAAAGAAAAGACTGATTTGAAAATAGTTACAGGGTTCTGAGTGTTTAAAAGTTGGAATCACAGATGCAGTTTTCAAGCAGGCAAGAAAATTTAGGTAAACTCTTATTTAAATAGTTTAGAGAGAATTGAAGAGAGTTCTGGAGTACTCTTTTTAATACTATGGCAAATGTTATCAGGACCACAAACAGTAGAAGAGTTTAAGAGAGAAGTAACTTTAACAACAAAAGCTCAACTTGCTTCTCCACACAGCAGCCTCATTTTAAAATCTGACTTTTATATCTTTTTATATTGATTTCTTACATTAATAAAAAGAGGTTTCTTTTCATGAGAGTTGTTCTTGTGAAAAAGATGAAAAAAATTATTATGATTAGATATAGCAGCTGCACACGAAAATGAAAACCGTTATTATTTTTAAAATGGTAGAATAAAACTAGACATAAAACTAAAAAGAAGGAAGAGTAATACACGATGCAAAAAGGCATTAAGTTTTAGAAATAGAGTTTTTTTAATGCTATTCACCTCACCAAGGCTAAGATGGCCACTACAGTAAAAGAGGCAGATTTATTGTGGTTACAACTCTCTCTCAACTCTTTAACTCTGAAACACAAACTTTGACAAACAAGGCTGCTGTGCAGAGAAACATTGAGCGCAATACTAACATGGGCATGGTGGGGAATGAACTTGAAATATTCACCTATGACACTCTACCATTACACCAATCCTGCTTAATGCTTTTGAATATTTTGGAAAGCTTTCTCATAACACTAACAAGAAAGAAAAAAAATCTGTAAAGAAATACACATTTTGACAAATAATAAAAATTTTTAAAAAGGTAAAACATTTACTTTTTCAGGACTTGATCTTTCCATCATAAAAGTCCAATAATATGGTATTCCAGCTTGAAGTTTACACTTAAATGATATTTCTAACATATCATTTTGCTGTGAAACCTTTAAGATTTGAAAATAAAATTAATAATGGCAACAAATGTGATTAATAAAATTTGACATAAAAAAAAAAAAAATTAAAAAAAAAAAAAATCTTTGCTTATTAATTTGTCTTTATAATTCATTTTTAAAAACATTCAACAACACAAAACAAAAAATGTTATGAGTATAGTAATGAACTTTTATTTGCATTGCTTTTTTTTTTTTTTAATTTTTTGTTTTCATTGTTGATGTTAGGGAAGATTTAATCTTAACCGTAACTTTCAAAATTTTTCACTTTTAAACTGCTTACAATATAAAAAGCAAAAATGAATTAAAATCAGGGTATAAAAATCTTTTACAAATAGGACTTAATCTATCAATAAACTTATTGGAACAAGAATTTAAAAAATCATTCCCTGTGAAATAAAACTTCTCATTGAAGCATCTGAACAAAATATCATTTAAAGAGTCACATTGAAAAAAAAACAACCACAAAACATTTCAACTAGTTATAAATACTTCTTTATGATTTTCATTTTACTATAGCTCAAATAATAAAAACATCATGATAATGATGATGATAATAATGATGATAATTAATATGATGATTAATATATGGTGATAATGATGATCATTATCTAAATTTTTTTCAGCCAATCATTATCAAAATAATTTAGATCTTCCTATATTTATGAATGGTAATGTACTTCATGAGTCATCTACCCTTCATCTTCTAGGATTATCTCCTACTTCCTATCTTTCTTGGAAACCATATATTAAATCCATTGCAAAAATAGCATCCGCTAAGGTTGCATCTCTTTACCAAGCTCGACACTTTCTTACTCTGTATTCTATTCTTTATCTCTATAAATCTCAAATCCGGCCTTGCATGGAATACTGTTGCCATATCTGGGGCGGATCTTCTAATGATGACCTTTCTCTTACATACAAGGTGCAAAAACGCATTGTAAACATAGTTGGACCTACTCTTGCAGTCAACCTTCAACAATTACCACATTGTTGTAATGTCGCTTCTCTTTCTCTTTTCTACAAATACTATAATTTTTCCTCGAACATCAGTTCTTTGGAATTCGCTTACTTAATCTGACTTTCCTGATTCATATAATTTGCAATATTTCAAGTCGTCTGTCAATCGTTATCTCGCTCTACAATCTTCATCTTTTCTCTTCCAGTCACTTCCAACTCTAATTAGTGGTTGCTTGCAGCCTTGTTGGAAGCAAAGATGTTTAAAAAAAAAAATTTCAACTATTGTGTTAATAAAGTATTATAAAAAAAATATAAAATTTTTCCCTTTTTAATTACAAAAACAAACCAAAGGTAACCTGGTATTAAAAGTGGAAACCCTACTGTAACTAAAAGTATTGAAATATGGCAGATAAGAAAGTCAATTAACTAGAAGTGTTTTTTTCAGTGGTATTATTTGATGAGTATAAGTTAGCTGGTTTTGTTCCTAGGAATACAAGTTAAAAATGCATGACTTTATATCTAAAACAGAATTAACTTTGTGACAGCAACACTTTGTGACAAAGTTATATATTTGAAAGTCAAATTCGACTTACAAACAAAATTGATTTGCAAACTACAATCCTAAGTTGATAAAACAGTGGCAACACCAGTGTCAGAAAAGAAAAATTAACTTTTCATCTCTCTTTACCGATAATAGACAAAATAGTTTCTACACAGAATCAGTAAAAAAATCATGTTAAAATTTTTTTTTGTCCAAAAATTGCAAATTTAGTGAATCATAGTAGTATTTATATATAAAGCATAATTCAAGTAACTTTGAGAAATTCAACAAAGCAAAACTGTTTTTATGTTGATAGTGGTACATGTCTAAACATAAAAGGCTGCATTGATGTTTCTGTTAATAACATTCAACTTAATAAAAGGGTAGTTGAACAATCATGGCAAATAATAGGGTAGTTGAACAATCATGGCAAAAAAAAAGAGTAGTTAAACAATCATGGCAAATAATACAAGTAGTAGTGATAAAATATTGATTAGGTGCATATATCAACCACCAAGTAGAACCTTGGATACCAATGTTTTTTTATCTAAATCACTTACAATTGCAAAGCAAACATTATTAAGTCTCTATAGCACAAGTATGATAGCCAGAGGTAAAATTAATTACAGTCACATCAGGTATATGGGTGTAAATGTGGATGAAGATCTGGCATGAAGTTATTAATAATTTGCTTTGGCATGAAGTTCTGGTGCCAAGCACCAGAACTTCATGCCAAAGCAAATTATTAATGCTCTGGGATTAAGCAGTTATATGCGGTAGTGGTGTAGTGGTAGAGCGCTCGCTTCATAAATGAGTGGTTCCGAGTTCAATCCCCACCATGTCCCTGGTAATACTGCGCTCAACTCGTTTCTCCGCGCAGCGGCCTTGTTCGTCAAGGTTCGTGTTTCGGAGTTATAGAGTTGAGAGAGGGTTATAGCCACAAATAAGTAGCCTCCTCGTCTGTAGTGGTCTTCTCGGCCTTGAGAAGGTGAATTAAAATAAAATTGAAAAAAAAAAATATGATCGATATGTTATTATGAAAAAAAATACTACTGCCTGAATTTTTATTTTTCAATATGATGATGCTCTTGTTTTGTAGTATTATCTTAAATTAAAAAGAATTATTATTTCCACAAAGACTTTGCAGAAATAATAATTCTGTTTTTATATAATTACCATGTACATAAATAACTTTTGATTCTGTATAGAGCTTAATAGTTTTTCAAAACCATTTAAAAAACCAAATTTTTATAATAAATTTAATACATTCTGAAAGCTGCTTTTAAATTTCAAAAACCACTTTTTAATTAAAATCTATAACAAGGGCTGGATTTACCTATAGACCAACAAGGATGCAGCTAAGGAGGTCACTATTTTAGAGGCTCAAAATGGGTTTGAAAAATATTTAAATTTGCTAGGATTTTTAGCTATTGTTAAAAAATATTACTTTCATGATTGTACAATACTTTCTCTTTGGAAAATTATTAACATTTTGTAAAGTTTTATTTGCACAACCATCACTACACTATAATTTGCAAGAAGATACGTTCCACAAAAAGGAATTCTAGGAAGAATGTATACAAAAGTTGCAACACTTAACTAAAAAATTGTAGATACATGATCAAATAGTGAACAGTTCTAAACTATATAAACTATATGATAGTTTTTCATTCAAATTAATTTCTCAAAAAACTTTTGGACTGAAAATTGATTCAGTCTAGAACCCTAAGGGTGTAAATACTCTAGCTGTGGCCACAATTCAATGGACACTTTTTGTTTTTAAAATTCTATTTCCAAAGGAAAAAGTCAAATAAGTGAAGTGAATATAAATATTGTTCCAAATTTAAATTTTTTGCTTTTGAAAGCTATTATAATATGGTGTAAGAATATAATGACATGATGTGTAATCCATTATAATACAATGTGTAATTTTAATGTGACACAATGTGTGATCCAATGTTATACAATGTGTAATCTGATGTAATATGATGTCTAATTTCAGGTGATACTATGTATAACTCAATGTAATATGATGCAGGCTTGGTCGGGAAGCGGGAGCGATCGCTCTCGAATACTGACCACGGAAATTATATTTAGTTACGAAAAACTGGCCAGGTTTTTTAGTCGTTTTGAGAACATTTAAGTTTATGTACGAAACAAAAAACTTTTGTTTTACAGACATACATGGAAACATAAAAAACTTAAACGTTCTCAAAACATCTTGGTGCGTGATAATAAAAAGAATATTCACAAACACTAAAAACGCGCCAAATTAACAAACAAACTAATTCTATTGGTTCAAAAATACGCTGACTAAGCGAAATAAAGCTCTAGACTATTCGGTTGAAATGTTTTATAAGTTGTATTCACGATTTGTTACGTTATGATATTTCTAGCATAAATTGTTTTTAAGAATATATTATCATTATGGCTCATTCTCGGAGCCACATCTGCACAGCCGTAAATCTTATAAACTATTATTATTTGTTTATAAAAAATAAATGTTGTAATATATATTATTTAAATTGCCAAAATTTTGAAAGTTTATTATAAATTATAGATTTTATTAGTATATTCTTATTTTTTATTTAAAAAGTATATTTTTTATGTAAATGTAATTTTGTGTATCTGTTTTTTATCGATTTAATTTGTAAACAAAGACTTACAAAAATAATTGCGTTTTCAAGGAAGTTAATAATTAATAAAGTTAATAAAACTAATTATGTAACAAACATATAAGAAGTTTCTGTTTACTAAACACAAACGATGCATACAAAATAACTCGAGGATGAACAAGCACCGCGCCTGAGGTCACGACAGAACACAAATATATAAAGCAAGTTATTAGATATAAAGAAAAGTTTCTAGATATTGGTTTACTAACTCTAATTTTTCGCTTAAGTTGCCATTCTTAAAAACTCCTTATACTTTTTTCTGCTTTAAATACTAATTAAAATTAAAAAGCCCACTCTCTAAACATCATCAGCGATATTGTGAAGTAGTTTCGCTTTCGCGTCATACATTATTTTTAACCTTTATAGTTGATTTCTATCTAGTTAATTTAATTTCTATAGTAATTCAATGATTTAATTATTTCATTTGTATATCTTACTAAGAAGAATTGTTTCAAATATGTTAAACTTTTCAAACTACGCGAAACATAAAATAGGTACTAAAAAAATTAACTTTTTTATTTATAAAATAATTTTGCTTAGACAAAACTAAAACTTGTATACTTTGTTAAATAAAGAATATTTGTTTCCTTTTTAAACAATCATAAGATGTTACTTTATATAAAAACTGTCGCCTAATTTTAAAAAAGAGCGATGTTTCGAAAATACTTGCTCTAAACGTAATTTATTTTGCTTGAAGTTTTTTTGCTTTAAAAGATTTTTTTTTTTTTTTTTTGTAATTGTTTCTTATTGGTCCAATTAATTTTTAATGCATTTTTTTTTTTGCTTTTTGAAATGTTCTCAAAACAACTAAAAAATCTGGCCAGCTTTTCGCAACTAAATATTATTTCCTTGGTCAGCAATCGAGAGCGATCGCTCCCGCTTCCCGACCAAGCCTGATGATGTGTAATTAAGTTATTTCACATCATATTACACCATAATTAAAAATGGTGGATATGCAAATAAACAAAATTGTTGAATCTGATATGAAAAATCCATGATCTTTTGAATGAAAAATATAGTGATCAAATAGAAACCATCAAGATCATAAGATCTAACACGATTAGGTTTCTTTTGATAGAGTTTTTGAAGAGGAAAGCTTACATTATAATCCTTAAACCATTCAACATCAAAAATAAAACATAATTGAGTAATTTACTCAAATTGAACCACAATTATGTCAACATGTGTTTTACTAAATGATCGGAGGCCTGAAGAGCTGCAAAAGTTAGTCACTTATCTGACATTCTTTTTGATTAATAACCCCACGTGGCTACTTTAATATTTTAAAGATACCTGCTTATTTCAGAAAACTATAAGTTTTCTGAAATAAGCAGGTATCTTTATTAAATCTCAAATTTAAACACCCTATATATATATATATATATATATATATATATATATATATATATATATATATATATATATATATATATATATATATATATATATATATATATATATATATATATATATATATATATATATATATATATATATATATATATATATATATAAATGCTGATCAAAATAACAACTTTAAAAAAGTTTTTTTTTTCTAAAAAAAAAAAGATTTACTAAAGTAGAAATACAACAAAATGTTAAACACTAAAATATTAAGCATTAAAATATAAAACACTGTCAAAGGTCAAAATTTTACCGTAAGTTTAAATGATCTTAATTTAAACTTATACAAAATTTTAAGTTTTGTATAAAAAATATTTTAAAATTAAAGTATTGTTGCTATGAATTACTGACGCCTATTGTTTTTTTAACACAGGAAGTGTTATTTAAAGAGATAATGCTTTTGTATTTGTGTATATCCAATAAACTAAAAAAAATAAATTTAGAAGCACAGTTCTATAGCAATTATTTAATCTTTGGCTGTTGATTGACTTCAGTAACTAAAAATTTAGAAATCCTTTGTAAGCTATTACTAGACAAACGCTGGAAACAATTTTTTTATTCTCTAATTAGTAAATAGATTGTATAGGAGGTCAAGTTTTAGTTAGGATAGGCTGATTAAATTAAATTGCAAGACATCTAATAATACGACATCTAATAATACAAACATTCAATACAAATGTTTAATTATTTGTTGTATTTTAAGACTTGTAAACAGTTCTATAATAAGATGATAGCACAAAACAATTTTATAAACAAGTTGGCAAAATTGAGTACAAAAAATAAATCCTGGTGATCTTTTAACACCTAATTTGATTATTATGTGTTTAACAATTCACATAAAAAGCTATTACTAATGTGCATGTCAAGCCAGGTAACACATGATTCAAAAAAACATTTTCACAGAAACCATTTTATTGATAGAGCATAAAAATGGCAGTAAAAATCTTAAAAAAATTTAATGTCGACTTTCTTGCACACTTTTGAACACAAAAAAGTTATTTTTCTAAGTTTTCTTAATAAATAATAAACTCAATTAAACACTTTTTTGCATTTCAAGATTTTAATTTTAATTTGTTGATATCTTTTTTAATTGGCTGATATCATTTTTAATTCGTTGATATCATTTTTAATTTGTTGATATCATTTTTAATTTGTTGATATCTTTTTTACATCGTTGTATAAAAACATTTTTGCATCATTGTATGAAACAAAGAAGCATAATTGTAGAATCGCTTTGAAATGGTTAGTATTTTTTTTTTACTTTAACTTTTAAATAAATTTTGACTTAAAACCTAAAGCCTGAACAACGCCAATTTTTAAAATTGCAGACTGTGGTCTCACTTCCCATAAAAGTACTTATAAACATTTATCATGAGTATGGTGCTATCTATAAAACTAATATTTTATGATAATTTTATGATTGTCACTAGCAAAATAAATTTGTAATTAACAAAAAAAATAAAAGAAATTCTATTGTTACAACCCAATTTGAGGAATCTAGTGTGGAAATTCATTGTAAATTAGTGTTTACATTCTGGGTAATCCAGTTTTGACATTTTGTGTAATTGAGTGCTGAGACTTTGTCCGGTCAAGTGTTGTTATGCATTAAAACGTAGTTAAACTTAGAAAACAAAACGTAAAAAGACATATTTATAAAATAAAATATGCTTTTTTAACCAAAACTTATTTAGAGGTTGTTTCACAAACAAATCTAATCAGTTTTTATTTTAAAAAAAACAACATGTTTCAGACTAAACATTTAATTGAATTTGTATTTGATGCAATTAAATATCAGTTGACTACAAATATGAGAAAAATAGTTTTAGAAAACTTTTACCTTCAACTCCAAAGAAAAAACGCAACTATTATAACAGCTTTCTAAGTAAGTAAACAGTTTTGCTGGTGATGTTTCAATGTTTGGATTGAAAATCTGAAAATAAAATATAATTTTCTGATAAATTACCTATTTCAGGTAGTTTTTAAAGATTATTTATATAAACTTATCAAACATTTAGTAATTTATTTTATTAAAAAGATATAGTATTAAAAAATTTTTAAGTCATTCTTTTTATACTTTTATTACATTTTCATAAATTTTTATAAAGAGTGTAAAAAATAGTTAAAAAAAAAAACAAACTAACCTTACATTTTTTGAGAAAATCATTTCCTATTATTTCCTCCTCCCATATCACACTGTTGAAGTAGCACATCACACAGTAACTTAATGTTTCTTTTTTAAAGCATGTTTTTAAAAGTAACTGTTCACCAGAGTGGCAATTAGCATAAACCCATGGTTGGACACTTATACTATCATATTTTTTAGTGTTTTGAATTTTTTCAGACATCTTTTACAATAAAACCAAAACACATAAGTCTAATAAATTCTTTAAAAAAAAAATCTTCTTTAATCTCAACGAAAATCTCATCCAAATAATCAAATCTTTTATTTGTTTCAACTTTAAAAATGATAACATAACTTTTAAAATCCAAAAAAAATAAAGATTTTTAATTTTAAATACTCAGATAAATTATAAAAAGCCGCTAAAATTGTTCTTTCCAACATCTCAATGTAAAACACTTACTTTAGATAAGTGTTTATATTGCCTCAAAATTCTGTCAGTTTATTTATTATATCAGAAATGTTTTGAAAACTTTTAAATTGATAAGTAAATTATTTTTGTGCAATAACCCAAACATAAACAAAAACCATAACTATGGTAACAAACTATGCTACAAAATGGTACAACCAATTCTATAAAATGATACAACTTGTTGCAAAATGGTACAATCTGTTGCAAAATGGTACAAGGTATGTTACAAATGGTACAAGGTATGTTACAAAATGGTACAACCTGTTACAATGGCAAAACCTGTTTAAAAAAAATCAATGTTTAAGGTCCAATATTAAACAAAAAATGTTTTAGATTAATTTATTTGGCTTAGGTTGTCTACTTGACAAAGATTATAAAATTAAAAAGATTGAATAGTATATAAACCTAAAAACGATTTCTAATGAAAATAGTAAAGTCATAGTTGACATGGTTGACAGAAAAACATTCTACCAGAAGACTATTGAACACTATTTAATGTTGAAATTTTATTTATTAGTTTAATTTCAAATTAACACTTTTTTTTTATTATTTTATTTAATTTTATTTTTTTATTAGGCTTTGGATAATGTATGGCTTCATTAAGTTGAGAGTTAGTTTTTCTGTAGGTATTTAAAAAAAAAAAAAAATACCTATAGAATATCTTACTTAATTGTTAAATAATTTGTTTTTTACCAAACAAACATACATACATACATACATACATACATACATACATACATACATACATATATATATACATACATATATACATACACACATACATACATTTGCTTATATATAATGAATAAAATGAGAGGTTTTTAAATTCTTTTTATCAAAAATATAAATTATGAAAAATATAAAAAAATTTCTAGTAGATTATTGCTTTTGAATGAGTTGAGAGCGATAACTGTTTATTCTTTCCAATATCCTTTTATTACTTGCACATTTCACACTTAGAAAGTTTAGATTGTCAAGAGATTTTGTTTCGAATGCTATTTCGCAAGCTTTTTCAAAATTTCTAAATAATAAATTTCATAAAAACAATAAACTTAAAATTATATATTGGTTGGGCTCAGTACTATCTGGTCAGATATGTTTATATATATATATATATATATATATATATATATATATATATATATATATATATATATATATATATATATATCTGGTCAGATATGTTTATATATATATATATATATCTATCTGGTCAGATATGTTTATATGTGTGTATGTATATATGTGTATATATATATATATATATATATATATATATATATATACATATATATACACATATATATACACATAAATATATATATGTGTGTGCATATATATATATATATACATATATATATATATATATATATATATATATATATATATATATATATATATATATATATATATATATATATATATATATATATATATATATATATATATATATATATACACACACATACATATATATGTGTATGTGTATATATGTGTATGTATACACATATATATATATATATATACACATACATATATATATATATATATATATATATATATATATATATATATATAATATATATATATATACATATTGATATACTCACACACATAAATATATATATATATATATATATATATATATATATATATATATATATATATATATATATATATATATATATATATATACACACACATGAGTAAAAAATTGAACAATCAGAAAAAACTTGTTAAAAGTTAAAAAAATTGTTAAAAGTGACTTTTAACAATTTTACAATTTAAAAATTGTAAAATTGTTAAAAGTCACTAAATTTTGTGTTGGAGATATATTAATGAAATACAAGAAGACACCAAACTATCAAAAGAAAAAGAGGTGGTGGAAAAATAAATGAAGTGTCGACAAAAACAAAGTGAACTTGATCACTTTGACGCGATCAATTAATAAAGAATTAAAAGCAATTCAATGTACAAGGAAGCTTGTCAAACATTTTTTAACCAAGAAAATTTATGAATTATTGAGAACAATGAAACGCACTGCAAAAAGGATTCCTCACAGTCCGGCCATTAATATTATTATTATTCAAAAGGTGTCTATGTCAGTAACTAAAAAGAAACTGAAATGTTTGCTACTAAGATCTGCATGTGGCAAGCAATTTTCTCTTTTGGCCTTTACATACAGTCGACTCTCGATATCTCGAATACTTTATATCTCGAACTTTTGAGTATCTCGAACTTTTTTTAGCGGTCCCATGGACATAACGTACTAGTTTAAAGCTAAAATCCTCTCGATATCTCGAACCTTATTATCTCAAACTTTTTGGTATCTGGAACAATATTTTCGGTTACAGGGCAATTTTCTCTCGTTATCTCGAACTTTTCAACATTTTTTTTTTCAAAAATGTTTTAATAAAATTTAATTTTTTTTAAATTCCAATTTTCGAAAAAAAAAATTTCAATTCGATTTTTAAATTCGATTTTTTTTAAGAATCGAATTTCTGAAAAGTTTTCCTTTAATATATTAATTTATTCTTTTTGACAAACGCAACAACATGCCGCTCGTTAAGTGAAAACTCACAAACAAATCTATAATAGAAAAATGCAAGGCATTAAAAGACCTAGAGACAGGGATGTCTAACAAAGAGGTTGCCAAAAAGTATGGAGTCCCAAAGAACACAAACAAACAAAACATTTATCAAGAGAAAAATGTTTTGGGGGAAAAAATAGTAAAGTCAGACTAACAGGCATAGCAGCAGGGAGTGCAACGAGAGAAAAATAACCTATGTTTGTTATTGGAAAATCTAAAAACCCATGTTGTTTTAAGCACATTAAACAACTTCCTTGCACATATAAAAATCAGCTAAAAAGTTGGATGACCGGAGACCTTTTTACAGAATGGGTAATGAAACTTGACTCATTTTTTTGTGCTCAAGACAGGAAAGTAGCACTCCTGGTGGATAACTGTTCTGCCCACCCACACATTGAAGGGCTAAGCAACATCAACCTAATATTTTTCCCCCCTAACACCACATCTGTCCTTCAGCCCATGGATCAAGGCGTAATACGAAGTCTTAAAGTTCATTATCGACACAAAATTGTGCATTTGTGTATCAAGGCTGTCAATAATAACGAACTCATGCCAAAAATTTCTATACTTCAAGCAATGAAAGATCTTGTTTCTTCGTGGAATGCTGTGTCGAAGGAGACTGTCATCAACTGCTTAAAAAAGCTGGTGTCAGCAAAATAAACAAGAGTATTGAAGAAGCTGATGATGTTCATCCTTTTAAATTTTTGACAGAAGAACTTAACCGTTTGCGAGAGTCTTACATTGGTTTAGATTGCGATGTAGTAACCACCGGTTCACTTGCTACTGATGCTGAAATCATTGCTCAGATTTTAGACCCTAATTTTGAAAACGACGATAATGAAGTTAAAGATAGCGTTGACGAAGCTATTGACGTCAAAGCCCCGCTACACCCATCTGATATTCAATTAGAAATTGCTTTTGAAACGATTCAAAATGCTTCACTATACAGCTCAAAATACAGAAATGAAATACAATCCCTAGCACTAAAACTTGAGGATTTAATGAAGATGGAAAAGATGGATAATTTAAAGCAATATCAGATAACAGATTTTTTCCAAAAGTTGTAGTTTTTGTTGTTAATGATTTTTGTCAGAAAAATAACTTGTTTTAATGAAAGTCGGGCAATTTTATTTATTTTCAACCCTTTTCTTGATATCTCGAACTCTCAAACTTTTTTTCCGGTCCCCTTAGTGTTCGAGATATCGAGAGTCAGCTGTATTTAATATATATTGCTCAGATTTTAAATATATATATACTTTTCCTATATATACTATATATATATATATATGTTATATATATATATATATATATATATATATATATATATATATATATATATATATATATATATATATATATATATATATATATATATATGTTACATTTTTGTTCTTTAGGCATGAATGTTTTTATTGAAGAAACTGCAGAAGTGAATAATTTTAATAACCATGTTAATGGAAAATAAAAACTGTGAACATGTTGATATTGAACTTATTCCATCAATTTTCAAATCAGAATTAAAAGTTTATTGGCTCCTCTTCCGCTTAAACTTTCATTGAACATAAGGCACTATAATACTCTAAAATTCTCTGCGCACGAGAGCCAACATCCTCCTACTTCTTGCATTAGTTAAACTAAGCTTGGCTTTATGGATAATCCCTAATAAAATGGCATTTAATTTGTTTTGGTTTTAATATGGCCTAAGATATTTTTGGATTGATGCATGATAGAGCTGTTGCAAAAAAAATAATATATTTATTTTGTTAATATCATTGGAAAATTTTTTTACATAAAATTTTTATGCTTTGCAATTTACATTATATAGAAAAAGATAAAGGTTTAGATGAGCATTATATGGATTTTAGTTAAAAATAGATAAAAATATTTACTTTAAAGAATCCTTAAAGAAAAAAAAAAATCAAGAAGTGATGTAATGTTTGAACAAATAAATGCCACTGTTAAAAAATTTATAACCTCACAGGATGATATTGATCATAAAATTTTAGATTATCTTTTAGAAAATCACAAAGAAGAAAAACCATATGTTATATTAAAAGTTCGTCAAGCTGAAGATTAATATTTTATTGAAACAGAATTTTTGTTGTCAGATTTGACACTGGAAAAACTTACCTGCACAATAAAAAAGGAATTTACAATTGAAAATAATGCAACTTTATTGATTTCCAAGTTACATAATTCAACTTATCCAAAATGATAAGGACATTAAACGTCTCAAAAGTGGGGCTGAGATTGAATTTTCAGAAAAAATCTGAAACTTTTTTTTTTGAAATGTTTTTTTTTCAAAATAAAAAATATAACTTTTTTAATATTTTTTTAAAAGTTCATTTACACCTAAGTACTTGACAATGTTTTTTTCTAGCACTCCTTATAAATTCAGCTTTATTATCAATGCAACAATTCAATGCAACTGTGGTTTAATAAAGGGTCTACTTAATAAAGGGTTTAAGTCAATTTCTGTTTGTTTTATCCATTTGTTTAAAAAATTTTGTTTTGACAAAGTACAGAAATTATATATAATACAACATGCTGTAACAATATTGACTGTATGTTCAACTGTTGTATCTAATCTTTTTAAAAGACATTCAATCTTCCAAATTCATTCTCAAATTATACTTGACATTTACTTAGTGAAGCGTTAAACTTAACTTCTTCTGTACTTAAATTTTCACAATCTGAGTAGGGCTTCATAAGCCAATTTTCAAGGGAATAAGCTGAATCACCAAGAATAGAGAACCTATTTCTATATTACTAATTGTTTTATTTAAGTTATTAGGTAAAAAGGTTCTAGCTAGACACTCTTTATATACAGGAAAATTTTTAAAAACCCTTGAATTGTGAGATTTGCCAGTCCACCCAACAAAAATATCTCTGAATAAGTATTTGCTATCTGCCAACCCCTATAATATAATGGAGTAATATTCTTTTCTGTTTATATAATAAACAGAAAAGAATATTACTCCAACTACTTGTGGAAAACCTTACAGTTTTTCAAAACTTGAAGTTATCTCTATTGTCTCTTTCCTTGAGGATAAAAAAATGTATATTTTCAATAAGTTATCAACAAAAAGTTTACAAATTTTATGAACTATTCTACGACAATATGCCAAACAGGTTGGCTATTGTCCGGTAATCTGCAGATCAATCTCAAAAGTAAAGTGTGACAGCTAATTTTATTTCTATAGGTAAAGATTTGAGAAAGTTAGTTTCTTGTATAGGCATAAAAGGTTTCCTTGCATAGATATTTAAAGCTTTTGAAATTCTTATGTTTTGAACCCAATACTCGTTGTTCCAACAGAACGATGTTTTGCGCCAGAAGTGCTGACTGCTAGGTTTAGTTCAAAATCTTCTGTGAACAGAGTCATTATAAATGCTGTTACAGTTTATCAATATGTGCTGTAATCGCATTCTTT